GTTCACTTTGGTATGAACAGTAAAGTATGCTCCAATCTTTGTTGGAAAGAGAAAATTGTATCTATAGACCAATTAATGAAAAATTGGAAAAAAAGGAAGTTAACCTTGCTTGGAAAATCGATAATAATACAAAGTCTAGTTATTCCAATGATTACTTTTCTCGTTAGTGCAATTGGAATCGATAATGACACGATTAAGGTTTTAGAAAAGATGATTTACGCTTTTATTTGGGATGGGAAGCCTGATAGAGTAAAACGAAATACTATGATCTGTGATTTTGATAATGGCGGGCTAAAAATAAGAGACATCCAATGTCATATTAATGTCTTACGTATTTCTTGGATTAAGCGATTACTTAACCACACTGAAGCCAATTGGAAAATTTTGCCACGCTATTATTATGATAAATTTGGAGCAAATAATTTAATTTTTAAAATGAATACATGTTCAACTATACTCCTGCCAAAATATCAGGAATTACCGAAATTTTATTTTGACTTACTTAGTTCGTGGTTTACACTGCAGGAGGAAAATCGTAATATAAAAAGTTACAGGGAAATAAAACAACAGGTGATATGGGGCAACAAACATATAACATTGGGTGGAAAGGCTCTATGGTTTAAAACATGGATAGATTCTGGTTTGATTTACATAAACGATATTGTGGGAATTTATGGAAAAATAGATGATAATCTTATATATGATAAACTGCATTGTAAAAGTAACTGGTTAGTTGAAGTTTTATCTTTAAAACAAGCAATACCACGATGTTGGATAGAAGAATTACATAGTGAAAAATCTAAATCGGTCGTTCAGATATTATGGAAGGATGTTTGTGTGTTTAATACAACAACATACAAAACAAAGTCATTGCAAAATATGTGTAACAAGGAAATGTATGATATTCTAAGGGGTAAAAAATCCCATACTACACATAGCTTCCAAGTTTGGAAAGAAAAACTTAATATCAAGGAAAATAGTAGAGGCGTGTTTACCAACTTTTTTGAATTTGTATTTAAGGTTGTAAGGGAGAACGACGAAAAAGTTTTTCGTTGGAAATTATTCAGTAATATTATTCCCAATGGCGTTTTATTAAAAAGATGGAATATTAAGTCACACGAGAATTGCGAAGTATGTAAAGTTAAAGATGACTATATTCACTATTTTATTGAGTGTATTTGTATAACTCCACTCTGGGATCACGTAAAAGAATCTCTTCGTAGACTAGGCTACACCATAAATATAAAATGTTTGAAATATATAGTTATTGGATATAAAATAACCTATTCTGCGTATGACTGGATTAATAGTTTGTTATCACTGGTTGGGTTTGTTATATATAAATGGTATCACCAAAGTGATTCAAGGACAAAGTACGTGGACATAGTAAAACTATTTAAGTATGAATTGAACAGAAAATTATGTTTAAAGTATTACCAAAAGATGACTTACTTGAAATTATGTTTGTAAAAATGATTACAGCAAACGTGACGAATCACTTTGAATAATCGTTCACGTAGTTAAAAAAAAAAAAAAAAAAAGGAACACACTGTGATGAAAATGAAGCCAAAAGAATTTCAGCAAGCATGGTGACAGCGACATCGTTCTCTACACAAAAACAATAAATTGGTGATTTAAAATATATCTTAAAGTGAACCAAAATAATTCATTTCTTTTTTTATATATTTCTTTTTTATAACGTCCATACTATGTTAACAAATGTGTTATCTTTGATCTTCGATTTGTGTAGTTAAGAGAAAGAAACAGAGAGAGGGTGATTGAGAGATAGAGAGAGAGGGAAAAGGAAAGACAGGGAGGGGGGAGAGAGAGGAGAGAGAAGTGGAGAGAGAGGGAGGGAGAGATAGAGAAGGGGGGAGATAGAAAGAAGTGAGAGTGAGAGAGGGAGAGTGAATAAGAGAGAGGGGGATGAGAGAAAAGGGATAGAGGAAAGAGAAAGGAGAAAAGACGCAAGACAGGAAAGGAAAGATTAAGAGGGAGTGAGAAAGAAGGAGGGGAGAGAGGGAAAGACAGAACTAAGAGTGACAGAGAGAGGGAGAGAGAGAGAAGGAGAGAGAGAGAGAGGGAGAGAGAGAGAAGGAGAGAGAGGTGAGAGAGATGGGGGAAGCAAGGAGAAGGAAGAAACAATTTTTCAGAAAATATGTACAGCGATATTAACAAAACATGAAAAAGCATAAACTGAGTCGCTATGTAACTATGTGAGACCTGCTGATTTGCTATTTTCTGAGTGTAAAAAAAAAGAAGAAAAAAAAAAAAGAAGATTATTGCCTGAAACAAAAGTGAGTGTATTAAGAGTTTTTATATTTCTTTTTTTACACATTTCTATTATGTAATTTAATGTGGTTTCCGTGTTAGTTTCGTGTCTAGCATCATGCTTAGTTTTCTGACTTTATGAACGTATTCGATACGCATGTCATCTTGATATACATATATGTTTTTTTCTAATTTTCTAGAGAAGGACATAACAACTGATTTTATGGGATATTTTGAATACCCCGTCAACAGGTCAATTTGAATTGTGTCCAGGGTTTTTTGGAAGTGTAGCCGTTGTTTGTAATTACTTTGTTGGTAATCCAAATATCGGTATCATCTGCAAATTGGGCCATATGAGCTAATCTATTTGTAAATGAATACTATTTATGGTATTTACTTTTTTTGACCTCTGACATTATTCTGACGAGTGAGTCTACTATAGATCTTTTGTACCTGAAACCGCTTGGGTTTTAGTCTATTATGTTATGCCTATACCATGGCATGGCGTCCGGAGTGCGGTATCTGTAAACTTTTTATTGAAAATCGTTATTTGTCATGAACGATTGAACAGATTTTAACTAAATTTGGTCTGAAGCATCCTTTGGGAAGGTCATCCATGTTTGTATAAGTATTGGTTATGGATCCTAGTGGTCTGATGGTCGGGACCAAATAGAAGATATAGAGTTTTTTTTTAAATCATACCCCTCCTTTAGGAACAACTGGATATTAGCTCCTCAACTTCAACACAAATCACTGATATAATGTATAACCTTACGCACTTGGCTTTCCTAACTGTTGGGCATGCCTTACCGCTATTCCTATAGAATCACTGAAATGAGTTATGTGGACTTTTTAAAAAACACTTTTAGACCAGTAAATTATGCATGTTACACGCTTTATATGTTATTCTGCAATTATCCTATCAAAATTGAAATTCTATCTGAAGAAGAGCTATTATATTCATAAATTCAATATTCATATCTCTTTCGTAACTGGGAGAATAGACATTCATACACAATTTATTTATCTATTATCATGATTCTGTTTTTAATAAACGGATGATTTTCTTTTACACTGCAGTATATATCAGTACAAGTACTGAGGAATTCGTGAAAAATTTTATTCTCCAGTTAATTTTCTGAATTTTAAAAAGATAACCAAATTTGTGAAATGAGAGGTTTGGTCTCTATTAGGAATCATTTTATTTTATTTTAATTTATTTTGCTTCCTTAGAATCTCAAATTATATAGACAACAAAAATATAGTTTAACGGATTTGATATGTATAAGCTCTGGGATTTTTAACGTTTACTTGAATTTTTCAATGAACGAGAGGAAAGTATTTTATAGCAAACAACTTCGAAAGTGTTATTTAGTATCGACTCTATCACGGAGCAACAACAACACTCCGAGTATGTGATCTTGTCACATATAAGGCCAGTCAACTGAAATTACCATTTTGGAATGAAAACATTCTGATAAGGGTGAAATTGTAGTTTGCACATAAATCATATGACGGGAATATGAATAAGAACGCTTAGAAGATTTTATTCTCTGACATGAAGCAGCCAATAGAAGGATTTCAATTAGAAGAATAACGGGAGGATCATGCAACCTAGGCCAGCCTTTGCACTCAATATCTCGTTAATGACTGGTGTTTAAAATCTTTCGACTTGTCAAACAATAACGTATAACTATGTATGTATTTTCTAATATATCAATAACGAAATTCTACCTACAGAACATTTCCATTTTGCACGAAATCTGGTAGCTTACCGTAAGCTCTGTGGATAATTGTTGACGTGATTGTGTTGTCGAGTTCTGTCAGATTACATATTTTAAAAATACACACTGTTATTTCCTTTGTATATATACACCATCTGTTTTACCTGTTTTAGTTCTATACCTGGTGGTAACGCTGTTGTATACTGAGAACGTGATATTGCATACTTGGATAGATCAAGGTTCACATGGTACAGAGTTTTGTGGTCTATAAACATGTTATATTTTTGTAAAAGCATATAGGATACTTGATATACTGAGTTGTTATGGTTACTTGATAATCTTATATTTCTACTTAAAATTGGTTACTTCATCATTCAATTTAAAGTACCTTTTAACACGTGTAAATTATTCATCTAAGAAATTATGCATTTGTCATAATACCAACAATCACTCAATAACGCCTTTTTTCTGACATGCCTTCGATTTTATTTACCTCAAGAAGGAGGTCTGTTTTAGTAATGTCTGAGTTAAGCGGAAATAGGGGTAAATCCTGATATTTCACGACTATACCCTGCCGCTTAGCTTGCCGTATAACAAATGTAGCACCATTTTGTTGTTGACAATGCTCTTTCGTGATGACAAACGGCTGGTTCCACTCACTGCGTTCAAATGAAATTCTGGTATTGACCAGGGTACCAGAACTTGCATACTTGGATAGATCAAGGTTCACATGGTACAGAGTTCTGTGGTCAATAAACATGTTATATTTTTATTAAAGCATATAGGATACTTGATATAATGAGTTGTTATGGTTACTTAATAATCTTATATTTCTACGTTATCAATCTATTTAATGTACTTTTTAACAGGTATAAATTATTCATTTAAGAAATTATACGTTTATCCCAATGTCAACAGACAATTACTCAATAACGCCTATTTTTCTGACACGCCTTCGATTTTATTTTACTCAAAAAAGTGTTTTGTTTTTAGTAATGTCTGAATTCAGCGATTTTTCATGACTATACCCTGACTCTTAGCTTGCCGTCTTAGAAAAGTGGCACTACTTAGTTGCTGACAATGCTTTCTCGTGATGACAAACGGCTGGTTCCACTCACTGCGTTCGAATGAAATTGTGGTATTGACCAGGGTACCAGAATCAAAATACAAACAAAAATGATTGAACTTCATTCTAGTTTTCTTAAAGTAGGCAAGCTCCTCATAAAAATCAACACGTTGGCGTCTAAGAATCTCCTTCAATTTGTGAGCAAAGAAATCATACAAGGCATGGTCTAGATAGGATCTTGCTCTATACAGACTTTCTTCTTTTGATCCAAACTGGAGTCGAGGATCTTCGATCTTGTTGACATGTAGGCTAATATACAAAATATATTTAAGATCCCAGTTTAAGAGTCGCCGCATCAGTACCAGGGATTCGTCCAGATATTCCACCACTAATACCAAATCCATCTCCTCATCTAGTTTGCGTAAATATATCTGAGTTTGTTTTGGATCTCTGCTCTGAAATAGACTCTCAGGAAATCCGAACTCGTTGGCCATCATATTGAAATCATGTATTTTACTTCGAACTCTGGTAACAGTATAGCGTTGAAACTCCATGTGTGATTCATTTTGAGATAAATATCTCAATACAGGGTTATCCCCAGATAAACTGAGAATATTTTTAGGTCGAAAAAATCTTACAAAGGAACGGAATTGACTGAATGGCTCCCTCACGATCCCTATATACAAAGTGTCGTTAGGTAACACTCGACTAAATTCTTCTCTGTTATATGGAACATGGCCACAAGTTATATCGTAAGTTCCACGTTTTGGTGGTGGGAAGAAGAAGCGTGATGTTAATGCAGTACCGCCCCCACCGTGGCCTCTTGGAATAGCAAACACGAGATTGTTTTCCTTGCCGTAACGTTGAAATAAACTTGCAACCGTTGTACTGGCGGCCTTGTGAATCTTTAGAAATGCTATGTGATTAGCTGGCCAGCCTTTTGAAATATATCGACTCTTATTGAAGGAATCGTGTTGTTTGGTGTTTGCATATGAGGAGTTACGATGTCGATAAGAGAGTAATTCCTTGCTTGTTTTGAACTTTTGTGTGAAAAAGGAGTCGGCGGTACTGTTTGATGTCCATAAACTGTACAAAGTGACCAACACACACGATCCAATAAATAATAACAACCTGTAAAACAACAAACATTCATCTCAATAAGAATATCACATACCGTATGGTCGGTTATTTCCAGAGATCAGATTTTTAAGGAATTTAATTCCATTTAAAACGAGTGAATGATAGTTGAAAATTTGGATGTGAAATGATATTAAATATACTCGAGTTTCATAACTTCGCAGATACATTTTTCGCTATCACTTTAGTGTAGCGCGAGAATGTAGTGGGATAACGACGACAACATTAATAAAGCCGAACAGCTATAACCATTCTGTTATCAAGAAGCACAACATTTGGCTTCACTTTTCATCGAGTGGTTTCCGACCGATTTTTAAAAGACAAAGGAAGATGTTGTAATATGACGACGATGGCAACCTTTGTCAACATGTGGTATTGGCTATTTATATAAACACCAGCCATAGCCATTATATCTTAGTTTGGCAAATAAAACTCTTCTCCCGTCATCTTAACACTAAAACATTTATAATTTAGACAGGCAGCAGGTAAACCCCCTTAAATAAATGTAAACTCTACATACATCAGACATGACCACTGACCATCGCCTGTCGAGTGTAGATCAATTTACGTGCAGTCTCACTCCATGAGACCACCAGAGAACTTGACTTTGATGTGTTTAGATACAAGTGTTCAGTAACTTACCACAGCCGTTTCTTTGTATCCGTACAGAAGTTGTTTTTGATCAACATTCTGAATGCAGGGAAAGTTAGAAAGCCTCTACACGTCACTGTCTCTTCCTCGATCAGTTAGACTCCAAATCGGTATATACTGTATGGAAATACAATCCTTTGTTAACTCCTTTACTTTAAATATAGAATAGGTACAGTGGAAATAATTAGTAAGAAATTAGTGAAATGATTAGAAAAAACCTGTCGACAAAAAGTTAAGTAGTAAGAAAATAGTGGAATGCTCCACTTTACCTTGGTCATTCCCTCCCCCCCTCCCCCCCACCAAATACCTGTGTTTTGTTATGTACGTGTTTGTATGATTGAATCAAGGTGATATTATCTTTTATTGAAGAAATCGTTAGTTTTAAATATTTAATTATTATGTTCTCTACTGTGTCTTGTTTATTTCCCGAAGGGCGATTGCCTATCAGTTCATTTTGATCGAACAGCCCTAACACTAAGCCTACGTCAAAAGATAAAGAATTTGTTTAAAAGGAAACTACAATTTTAACAAGATCAGTGGTACATAACATTCTTTTTAAACCTATGTGTCTTTTGTACAATCTTTAAGATAACAGGTAGTAGACACTGCTGGCTTGCCGTAACCGGCATTCCATGTTTTCAGAATATACCTATAAACTTGACGTTGTTCTAAATTGATCAAAACTGATCAACTGAACATTCTGAAATGCTTTCCTACAAAATGACTGGTGTTTATTGTAATTTTCACTGGCGTTGATTTTTATATAACGGAACAAGTGACAGCATTTCTCTGTGGGATATTCAAATCAGACAGCCAACTTTCAATTGAAATTCGTATACATTTACGCATACAAGAAAGCAAATTAGTATATGACACTTTTGTGTCAAGCATAACAGATAAGTGCTTTGACTTTCCAGAGATCACATACCGTAATCTTTGTTTTACTAAATAAAGGTAAGAACAAAACAAACGCTTACTACCACTAATTGATCCATTGCTTGCCTCGTCCTGCTATATAAACAGGGATTATATACAGTGAAAACTTGAGAAAACACGAATACAGTAATGTTGCGACAGTAGTTATTGTCTGTTCCTATTTTGCCAATGTTATTTCCTACCTGTTTACCTGTATTAACTCGCATTACCCGAATCATATCTCATACCTATTTATATAAATACACATATTTTCAGATGAACTTTCGTTTTATCTATTTTCGTCAATCTTCAGCTGATTTTTATACATGATCTATTTGCCTCAATCTTAACCTGATTTTATACATTCTCTAATTTCTTTAATCTTAAACTGATTTTACACATGATCTATTTGCCTCAATCTTAACCTGATTTTATGCATGATCTGTTTTCTTTAATCTGCATGATCTATTTGCCTTAATCTAAAACTGATATTACACATGATCTATTTGCCTCAATTTTAACCTGATTTTATGCATGATCTATTTGCCTTAATCTTAACCTGATTTTATGCATGATATATTTTCTTTAATCTGCATGATCTATTTGCCTTAATCTAAAACTGATATTACACATGATCTATTTGCCTCAATTTTAACCCGATTTTATGCATGATCTATTTGCCTTAATCTTAACCTTTTCTTCAATCTGAAACTGATTTTTACACATGATCTATTTGCCTCAATTCTAAACTGATTTTATACATTTTTTCTTCCATCTTAAACAAACGTACACAATATATACGGTTTTTTCAGCTACATTTAAACAACAACGTCAGAAATTGACAAACATAATATGATATTATATAATAGTGTATATTTATCTAATAATGTAGAAAGTAATGATGATAGTTTGAATGGTTACAATTTTGGAAACAAAATGAAAATAGTTTTAATAAGCAACTCAAATTGACAATAGAACATTATTCACATATCAATGCTAAAACATAACATTGATTTGTATATTACAACACCATACGTATTTTGATATTGTAGTGGTAGAAATAGTGAGAATATCCTAGCGGTATGGCGTTTTTAGTATAGAAGGTCAGATAGTAACCTCTGTCACATACTCTCCAGTTATCACCAACTTGATAAGTGCAAACATTCAATTGGCATTTCTTCGCAAATGTTTGGTAGATAGAACATTTTGTATAACGGAAACATTTACTGGAAACACACCATCCATACAGGGTCATGCTAAAATCATCTCCCTGTATGGAGTCCAACAATCTTAGATGTTTATTCGACAAGAAACTTATGACCGGTCGTAATTGGCATAATATCGTCTGATAATAAATCGGCTGACCAGCGGCCTCTGGTGTTACAGGAGTAGAAGAACTTTGACAGACATAAGCCTGAAGGGAAAGTTGACCCAAACAACTACCGGAGAGGATTCCTAGAACTTGATGATTGTGACCAATCTAGGATTATAGACTTGCCAACACCCGACAATGTGACCTCTGTAACGCCGACACGTTCCCTGTGAAGGAACATATTACATATACTCGACTCAGTTTCACAGGATCTATAGTATCCATGTCAGGTTAGCAGACCTGCAGATGCATCCACATGTGTACAGACTACAGTCTACTTCTCGCAAGAATCGGGCAACATACCAACGATTTTTCAAAGCCATGAGTGAAACGTTAACGTCACATTGGCAGTCTCGTCAACCAACTCATTGAACGTTTGGGAATTTTTTTAAAATTTGATGCTATCCAGTACACAAACATCCCACCTTATATATTTAAAGTGTTGACTTCTCACCGTGGTTGAACTGGTTTTAATTATGGACCATTGATTATCAGTCCTTATTATGAATTTTCTAATATTACATCGGCGCTATTCATTAAGTATATGCATTAAATATATTTATTTGTATTTCAAAAATATGCTAATTATACAAACTGTGACACGTATTCCCGTTATTTATGCCATTACGTTTGTACACAATGTGTTCATATATGGCTTTGTATCAATGGATCTTATTGATATGTACATTGAAACAAAGTAATACATGTAATGATTGAATGACGTCATATTGCTTCATAACTTCAAAATGTAACTGTATGCATTATATACTGTAACAGTATACTTTATTGATAAGTATCCGATAAAATAATTACAAGTTCTTTTTTTATTTTGGTGTATTCTTATTAAACAGTAACTGGAACCTGGTAACCAGTTTATATATACACGTACTACCAAAATTGGGCAAAAATGTATTACAATTTACACCATATGTACAATCTTATTGTTATGAAAAGTACTGACACAGACTAAGTCCGTATAACAGGTTAATAATCCATAGGTACAATATCAGAACACGTAAATAGTCTACCTCTATGTAGGTGCTATATCAGAACATACTATAATTACACCTCTATTATCTTCCAGTGTTAATAATTCATTTGTTGTTAAAAAGTGGGACAACGGAGGGCAAACCCAGTGAAAGACCATGTAATTATGTTATTGAAAATAAGTTAATTTCTTTTGGCCTGTACAGATCTATTGACACTGTTAACAACTGTGGAGATATTGTGGATAAAGAGGACAATCACTATGGAACTATATAAGATATCAAACACATCTTACTTTTAACGGGACATTATATTAATATTGTATACTTTGGCTTACCTGAAAAAGATCCATATGGAACCATTTGTCAAGTTAAAAGACGAAATTCGTAGCATCAACTTGAAGATTACAAACATTATTATTATGTTATTTGTTATGTGTAAATTGTGTGTGTGTGTGTGTGGTGGTGGTGGTGGTGATGTGTGTGGGTAAGTGCTATTAGCGAGATACTGATAGATTTGTGCAGAACAATGAGCAAAACAAAAGTGTGCCGAACCCAATTCAATTTCAGTGTATGAAAACGTCTCCTACTTCATCGTTGTCACCATGTAAGTCTTGGTCAATTCAAGTAACTCTCACGTACCAGATAACTGACGATGAAACCCCTGCATACTAAAATGGGGTCTTTTTGGCGACGTTAAAATTCTCCCATAGTCTTCATCAACCTGTATCTCTGGCGGTTACCGTGATATCGTGAACACGTCCATGAATATCGATTCAAAATGATGTTAATATCTACAAATTGAACAATGACATGACCATAGTGTTAACGCTGTTGACGATTATTATATTGTAAAGCTGTTCATGCTGATTCGGTTGTATATCGAGGTAAGCGGTTGATGAGTTCGTCATATATTCCTGTGTGGATATACGATATTTCTACCATTATCGTCACTTTTCTGCTCTTTGATAACACATATATTTTCTGTTTCCAAAAGGTATGTATTTGCTGATCAAGTAAAGCTAGATTTATCGATGGGGTTATCATGACTCAAAACGGAGACCTTATTTATTAACGTCCACTATAACGGCGTGTATGTCCTTAAGCAAACCCTCACAAAAGTATCCTGGTTTTACAAAGATGTACTGTTCTAACCTTTACAAACCTACCCTGGTTTTACATAGATGTACTGTTCTAACCTTTACAAACCTACCCTGGTTATGCATAGATATACTGTTCTAACCTTTACAAACCTACCCTGGTTTTACATAGATGTACTGTTCTAACCTTTACAAACCTACCCTGGTTATGCATAGATATACTGTTCTAACCTTTACAAACCTACCCTGGTTATACATAGATATACCGTTCTAACCTTTACAAACCTACCCTGTTTATACATAGATATACTGTTCTCACCCTTACAAACCTGCCCTGGTTATACATAGATATACTGTTCTTACCCTTACAAACCTGCCCTGGTTATACATAGATATACTGTTCTTACCCTTACAAACCTACCCTGGTCATACATAGATATACTGTTCTCACCCTTACAAACCTACCCTGGTCATATATATGTATACTGTCCTCACCCTTACAAACCTACCCTGGTCATACATAGATATACTGTTCTCACCCTTACAAACCTACCCTGGTTATACATAGATATACTGTTCTTACCCTTACAAACCTACCCTGGTTATACATATATATATATACTGTCCTCACCCTTACAAACCTACCCTGGTTATACATAGATATACTGTTCTTACCCTTACAAACCTACCCTGGTTATACATATATATACTGTTCTAAACCTCACAAAACTAATTTGGTTATGCACAGTTGTACTGTTCTCAATCTGTTGTCAAATGACAAGATAATTTTGGGCCTGTGACCACGAAGCTATTTTTGGTTTAACACAGACCACTATCTCCAGTGAATTTATGGCTTAACGAGTAATAAAACATCAGTATCTACTTAGATAACTGATATTAGCACTTCGGGAATTTTTTATGAAGCAAAGAAAATTAATGGATGATACCGATATAAAACAAATAAAGGCTAGATTTTCTAGGTTTATATTACTTAGGAATTCAATTCTAACATATGTCACTATCCGCTTTCTGTTGTCTGTACTGGCTCTGAGGATGTTTCGTATTTCACCTGCTAAATAACACTTCCAAGAAATATGTTAATCTTTTGATGCATTTCAATTAAAGTTAACCATTAATGGTATAATAATTCACTTAGTGATGGAGTGCCGGAGCCATCGTTTGAATCCCTTATAATGGAAGATATTGATCTGTCAAACACAAACAGGAAACATATATTTATTATTTTCTTTAAAATTTGTACAAAAGACTAAGCAAAACCCAAATTATCAAAATTTTGATGCACTAACCCATAATTTAATAAATTTAGTGTTTTTCATATGTCTGATAATGAGAGTAGTCAACGATGCTATGAGCCTATTTCAGAAACCTAGAAGGCGACTGAGGGAAATTCTAAGTGATCGTAAAATATACAAATCTTGGTCGAGAGGTGCATTTACTCTATATTTCATTAGCAGATTTCAATGTCCTATAATTTCAAAAGAATATCAAGTATACAGGTGTATAACCGTGCCACTATTTGAATAAAAATTGAAAGTACAATAAAGAAAGGAGAGAACATTATTGAATGTTCAAGAAATAACAATTTATAGCAATACGAGGGATAAAACACGATGGATAGAAAAGGAAACAAACCTAGTAGTTTTTATCTTATCATAACGAATCAGAGTAGTGACAATTTCGTTCTTATACATGTATTTTGGTTCTTTCTGTACAAAACTATTACTACAAACCATCAATGAAAACCCTCGACTATTACACTGGAGTGTTCTTCAGAAGCATGAGAGCTATTGCCAACAAGGTCAGGAATTTTACATGGCGATAGAGAAAATAGCAGAAAGTGACAAAGATAAAGCAGAAATTCACGCAGTGCTTTCACCAAGGAATTTCCTAGACACCTAGAGAATTACCAGATTTAACGAAACAAAAACAAAGGCACGCTTTAGAGGAAAGAGCTGAGACAGTAGACCAGACAGGGACTAGATATGAGTATTTCCCCCTGTTCCACAAGGCGTGGGATTTCGAGTATTTCTGACGAGTGCTCCAACAGGATTTGAACCTTTATCTCCAGAGTCATAGTACATGGCTCTACCTACTGGGCCGAAGAAAATTGCCCCTTAAGCTCAGTCAAAGAGACGGTATTTCACACAATGTAAAAGTACATACTACGTGACACTTGGTACAAGTAATCATGCCGATGAACAAGTCACTGGCTGGAGGATATGGTAGTTCTACCAGTTGAAGGGGCCAGTGGTTTGAATGTCGAACAAAACTTGTACCCCTTACCTATACTTCTGCTTGTCTTAAATCAGCCAGTGGCAGTAGCATGGGAGGTTGTAACTAGTTTACCGCTAACTACCAGATCTTTCTATTTCGGTCTGCTATAAGCTAGTATTGGTGTTTTCGAGAAAATGCTTTTTGAGTCTACTAGACGACAGCAGGATAAGCCGTCGTCGTCAGAAACAATACGTCTGATACACAATACTTGGAAATATGGAATGGTGGGTAGTAACTGGACGGACGAAGGAAACCTGTGCTTATTTCTCATTTGTTGAGTGTGGAACACATGTCCAAAGTGCTATTCTCGTCGGAGATGTCACCAATAAACATGAAAGTCTGATGACACTCGTTTTCAAAACAAAGGAATCCTCATTGGACTTTCAACCGGATGTCAAATCAATCAATGTTTTCAATAAATCTAAACCAGCTCAGTGGTTTTGAGAGCATATCACAGTATAGCGATCGTGTCAAAAAGAGAATGTAACATGGCGGCGATTGAGGCGAATGAGGAAATTGCAGGAAATAGACGACCAAGAAGGACATCATCGATTATGAAGCAGGGAGAGGTGTGTTGTTTGCCGGTGTACGCTCAGATTAACGCCCCTTTAGGGAAAAGATGCGTGCAGAATGCGATCTTCGCTAGCCAAGGTCTCGATTCGCTTCTCTCTTGGTTATTTAGTTATTTTGGGATCTATCACCTTCAATACCTGACACTGGAACTTCTTACCTCGGTGATGGGCTGTGTCAAGAGTAGGTCAATTTAAACGTCCGAAGATGAATTTTGATTGTTTTTATTAGATTGCATATGCTAACTTGATTCCAACAGAGATTACCATTGTTTGGTAGTTGGGATATAAATATTGTACAAGGTGAGGGACTTAAATGCAGGGTGATACTGGTGGGGTGAATGGGAGTTTGGTTATTATTTGTGAGTTATATTTTACATGCAGGGTGATACTGGTGGGGTGAATGGGAGTTTGGTTATTATTTGTGAGTTATATTTTACATGCAGGGTGATACTGGTGGGGTGAATGGGAGTTTGATTATTATTTGTGAGTTATATTTTACATGCAGGGTGATACTGGTGGGGTGAATGGGAGTTTGGTTATTATTTGTGAGTTATATTTTACATGCAGGGTGATACTGGTGGGGTGAATGGGAGTTTGGTTATTATTTGTGAGTTATATTTTACATGCAGGGTGATACTGGTGGGGTGAATGGGAGTTTGGTAATTATTTGTGAGTTATATTTTACATGCAGGGTGATACTGGTGGGGTGAATGGGAGTTTGGTAATTATTTGTGAGTTATATTTTACATGCAGGGTGATACTGGTGGGGTGAATGGGAGTTTGATTATTATTTGTGAGTTATATTTTACATGCAGGGTGATACTGGTGGGGTGAATGGGAGTTTGATTATTATTTGTGAGTTATATTTTACATGATAAGTTTTACATTCATATTTGATTTTATTACAATAAACGAATAATGTTTTTGTGAATGATATTTTTGCATCATATTTCATTAGGGTTTTTTGGAGGGGGGAGGGGGTTGTTGTTATTGTTTTTGTTTTGTGATTTTCTCTATTTTTCATTTCCAGGTAGGAATTGTGATAATAAAATTAATATATTTTATTGTGATGATTAATTTTTTATGTTATGAGAAAATAAAATGTTCTGTTAATAATGTGTTGTTTAACATTTTCAGCCCATATGTTATAGCATCATCAGGCAGATAGGCTGTTCAGATCACCCTTCCTCCTTGGTCGTCTGTCCTTGTCTAGTTTTTTCATAGGTGTTTCCCTCAGTTTACAATTGTACATTGTCCCTGACTGACACACAGCCATCTTGATTTTGACAGTTATAATTTGTTAGCATCTTTTGTAAAGAGATACATAATGGATCATTCCCATTGGTCTTTAATTGTTCATACTATAAGTGTAATCAATTAGGAATTTTAATAAACAAACCTGAACACATTTTGAGCAGTTTTACTTAACTGAGAAGGTTAAATATGGCCGTGCACAACAAAACATTTTGTGAAGCCGTCTTAAAATATATTGGTATATCGTGTGTGTGTGTATATATATACATATATGTATTAAAAACAATAAAAAAAATCTTTTCGCAAGATAGAGTAAGGAAAAAAATAAATACAGATAGTAGCTGTCTTGAGGCTTTTAAATCTCTCTTGAGGCTCTTCAGAAGTTTATATATAATATGTATGACAGAAGAATTATAAAAAACGAAAAAAAATTAACGACTTATTCCCGAGGCCTTTCGGTTCATACCTTTACAGGAGAGTATATATATATATATGTATATGTAAACATGAAAGGCCAACAAGGCAAATAAACTTGATTATCGCTAACGTTTTCAAGCCGTCTCTCGGCTATCTTCAGGCGATTATCAAGTTTATTTGCCTTGTTGGCCTTTTATGTTTACATATTTAAATGATACACAATGTTCTCATCTAACCAATGTTCTCATCTAATTGAACTATATATGTTTATACATTTTGTATAAACGATAAAGCTTTCAGTTTCCTATGTGATGAAATTTCAGGTGAACCGTTTTAATTCATTATAAATTAATATGGAAAGTAATCTCAGTTTTCTGCTACTAAAACTTGGCAAAATTGTTTCGGGAACAATTTACTTTGTCGGTGCTGTCGTTATTACTTCATGGATCCTATATCTATTCTATTGATAAACATTAAAGGGTCGTTTGTTTATTCTGATTCTTATCTCTGTATAACTTACTACACTATACATCATCTATGTACATTGTACATGGTCTATATTGATGTCGTGTGGACATAAGATATGAAATAAACAAATACAATACTCTTTGTATGTCAAATTTAATAAAAAAATAATTTGGTGGGTTTCAGAAAAACCTCTTAAACACAAGGGATTGCTACATTCATTTTGCTGCTATCACAAAATATTCAGTATATGGCATATATATATATATATATATACAGCATATATTTGCAGACAATAAGTCTTCTGGTTTTACATCAACCTTGATTGAACGATCTGATGTCGGAGCCTACACTCTGTAGTACTAAGTGTAAGGAACGACAACTCTGGTAGAAATTTGACAAAAGTGTTCATGTACACATTGTAATAAGGAATGTATGGAAAATATCTGTAAAATAACATAGATTATTGCACACCACAAAATACATTATTACATGCTTGATGACATAGTCCTTGATATCTTAATATATCATAGCTTTTCACACTACTTACTTTGATTTCTCCATGTTATTTTCATTGAAGTGCAATTTACATAATTCCACATTACTACATAATGTTTAAATGCATCATAGAAATCTGGTTAATGACCCGGTAGAGTTTTTTTATTTAACAACACTAGTTGACGGAAAACATATTCATGTATTTAGTGAATAAACTGATAGATAAAAAAAAATTATTGAAACTATAGCTGTAAGAAAAATGACATTTCAAACTAGTCAATGGTGAAAAAGACATTTATGAATTAATTCCAGAAAATACCCATTCAGATGACATGCCTTTTCTCTGATCTATTTTCACACTGTGAACAAGCCACACAAAATCTTATGATAAAATATACCGTAAAGTTGTTAAGATCCAAATTCCAGTGTTACATAAAAATGTTCAAATTCCTTGAGAGACAATATATACAAAAGATGGAAAATATTAGACATGTTGACAAAATTATATCATCATTAACAATATATAATTTCATCTACTATGGCATCACAAGGAACATAATCATATATTAAGAATTTTTCCAGAATTTTATATAACTTCAAACAAAAACTCTTAAGGATACACTGTTTAACTAGCTTACTTTTAAAATCCATTTTAAACAAGATCAGTATGATAATTAACTGAATACCAAATAAGTTGTGAGCTCTTTATCACATGGTTTAAAACGAGATGAGTTTGCATTCAGGCTAAAATCGAGACCTAATCCATACTTGCATTAACAACATATTTGATTATATTACAAAAGTAGAAAGATAATTTATTCAGCAAAATGCCTGTTAACCATCAATAATAATATTAATAAAATGGGAAGAAGAAAATGGGTTTAAAGATCAAAATATTTCTTGAAGGAAACTAAGATCTACAGATTAGCTATACATACAAAAGGTGCCAATAAGATCATGTAAGTCTGTATTGTTTGGACATTTAGTTACAATCCTGATAGAGATTGGGGAATTCACTTACCAATTAACAAAAAGCTAATAAAATGAATACTCATGTACAACAATAAAGTAAAAATACAAAGAAAAATAATATATATAAATTACTATCAATGTAAATATACAGCTGTCATATGTGTAGTTATTTTATGTTTTAAAGAGACAACACAAGCAACAGTTTTTATCAAAGTTTACAGAGACAACACAAGCAACAGGATTTATCAAAGTTTATCTAACTCATCTTTCAAATTACAAAAAGATAGGATTGTGGCTGGCTGTCTTTTTGTATCTTTTTGTAATTACGGAGCTAGAGTTGGATAAATGTGATAAAAACTGTCATGAATTATAAAATCTATATACTATAACCTATTCTGCTATCATTGCTTCACAGTTTGGACGATACTTCAAAAACACTCTCTCAAAACAGGTGCCATTCATTGAAAATTTTCATATCTAGTGTCATTTCAATGTTGTAATTCTATTGTAGCATCAAGATTGAAGTTTGATAGGCCACTGGACATAACATGAGTTCTTTAGCCATGAAATCATTGTGTTATACAAAGGATATATATGACGTAGTACTCTATTCTTACTGATAACAACTTTTGTTAGTCTGGTTGCTTAAGATGTTGTAAAAAGTACAAGTTATCTGCATCAATATGGTTTTAATCCATTGCAGATTCAGGTTTATTTTTATCTAATTACAAATTGGCATCATGCTAGATTGTCCATATCTAATAAACAATGGAAGAAACATAACATTAAATTAACAAAGATTCTGTTTTACAATTACCACTGCTGTTGTCAGATTGCCAAGATAGATGGGATTTCAATATCTACACACATAAATCAAAACTCCACACTAAAAATTGAAATTATGAAAGATTGTGTCCAAAACATTTAAAAAAATTGTTGATTATATATGAGATCTCAGTTTTCTTACCAATCACAATTTTTCTACATCTGCAACAGAGCAGACTATTCTGGTAATAGACTAATGAGATACTATACATGCTGTATATTTACATAACAATAAAATAGATTTCCTTTAAGCATGCTGTATATTTACATAACAATAAAATAGATTTCCTTTAAGCATGCTGTATATTTACATAACAATAAAATAGATTTCCTTTAAGCATGCTGTATATTTACATAACAATAAATTGGATTTCCTTTAAGCATAAAATTGGTGATAAATTGTGAAGACTTGGCATCATCTGAGAGACTTCCACTGGTAACATGGCTGTATCAGACTCACAGACAAACTTTGTCTATGGCACTGATGATGGCGTCAGTTGAGTAGGGACGCTCACATAGGTTTACCATTATTCGAAGATGTTTGAGGGAATATCGGTTCTACAAAATAGGAAAAGTATATTTAAGGTATATAAAAAAGCCAAAAATTATAAAGATACAGACAAAGTATTCTGTACAAACACATCATGTCCTCATTTGTCTGCTGTCAGTTCAAAAATGAACACTAAATAGCTTGATGATTCAAAGCAGCCCTGAATATTTCGGTACTCAAGAAAAGCTGCCAGCTATTTTGGTTTAGTTAGTCAGTGCAGTACAAGTTACAGACATTTAGATGAGGTATATGAATTGGGGATAGTTGTAGATATTTGAGTGCAGTAATTTGGAATAGCACAGACATTTTGGTTACCTAAGTATAAATATGTTTACTTACTTGTGGTAACTGAGAATAGATACAGATATGTCTGTTAAATCAATTGGGAAAAGATAATTTATTGCAATAATTGGGAATAGGTTGTGATATTCCTGTGGGGTAAATTAAATGGAAATAGTTGTAGATTTTCCTATGCAGTGATTTGAAACAGCCACTGAAACTTCGGAGAAGTATTTAAGAAAAGCTACATATATTTTTGTGAACATTATTGGGAACAAGTTATTTTAGGGTAGTTGGTTATAACTACAGATATTTACTGTCAGGGAATTGGATGTCTAGATTTTTAGATAGCTGACAGGGCACAAGTCATAATGTCTCCTATTAATCAACTGTGAAAAATGAAATATTTTACTCACTGATGGAAGGTCCAGACGGTCACATTTGTCCTTCAGGTACTCAACAACAGTGACATAACAGTCATGCCTGTAAAGGTTATTTTCACCCATCAACATTTGGTCCTGTTCCCGAAAGTTGTTATCACCAGCCACGAGTGACACAATGTGTTTCATAGTAATGTCAGTCTCCTCTCGTTTCTGTAACAATATCATCACTACAGTACTTCTACATTTCACATGTGTTTCCGTGTAAATCACACAACAAAATTTATCTATTTTACAGGATCTAACTTCCTTACAACAGCTGGGGTGATGAAAAGTGACACCAAGAGTGGACAACAAAGAACAGAAAGAGATGAGAGGAAAGAATGTTGTTCCTATGGCAGATGTTGCATTGGGACAACAGCTCTCATTTAGACTCCTAAATGTCCCCCAGTAGAAGACATGGAGAACTCAACCCCCCTACCACTTTGAAGTGGGGCCCATTTTTAAGGCAGCTCAGTTCCTAAGATCGTTCAGTGGAATACAGCAAGATTATGCAATCAGGACTTTTACAGTGAAAATAAAACATTAGAAAAAAAGTTACGATATTTGTTCATCACATGATGAAATGGTGAATACTCATTGGCTGCTTACAACAGTTCAGTTCAGCCAATCAACTACATTCTTTTACCTTTCCTTTCTCCTTTTCAATTGCTTTTCTAGGATGTGTAAGGTGTATAAAAGTATCACATCATCATTAATAGGGGACACAAATGAATATCATTGTAAAACAAATAACAAGAGATCACAGAGGGATCTTGGTGCCCACATTGTTCTATCTTTATTTGCTCTTTGAAAGTTGGATCTTTTCTCTTCTCTGTTTTTTTGCTCTGAATGATAAAAAATTTGAACAGTCCTTTGCAGAAAAAGCTAAGATAATCTCTAGGTAAATCCAAAATGGTCGCCTGGAAGCAATTTAGTTTTTTTCTAATCAGTCCCAAACTGAAACAGGCACAACTAGGGGCAAAGAGGAACCTACATTTAACATTTGAGAACGATCTATGCAGTTTTTCTCAAGAAACAGTGATAACAAACAAGTCAAAATCAAAGATTGCACCTCTAGGCCATATTCTTTTTCTGATTGGTACCAAAATCAAATAGGCACAACTAAGGACCAAGGGAAACCTACACATGGAATTTGAAAAAGATTCATCCTGTACTTTGCAAAAAAATAGCGATAACAAATTTTGTTTAAGGACAATAGGCCAGACAACCGACCATGGACGAAGGGTGATTTGAATAGCTACACAGTGAGTTACTGGAGGAAAAACAAATAAAGATAATGAAAGTACCATCAATTTACAGGCATTTTTGTACCAGATGTCTTGACATTAGTGTACAGAAATATGACACATAACACAGAAATGCCTGTTGTTCAAAGAGAGGATATCACAGATGAAATTGATAATGAAGATGTGGATATTGACGGCAATATTAAACCCTTATTGACAAGAAATGGCAGATATCAAACAAAGCATGTTAATTCCCTGAGAGGACACATATGACCTTGACTTTTAGTCCTATATCTATATTCACGAAGGTCGACAACTGACAGGGAATCTAATGGAAACCAAGAGAGTCTTTATACTGGGAATGCTGGCACAATTTCTCAAAAATCTGTCATACTGATATACAGGATACAGAAATTTTAGATAATAAAGATGTTTATAAATTGTAACAAAACCATTTTAATCTCTTCAACAGTTAGGATCAGTACCTTCATAATTGCATTTATCCTGTCCAAACTCTCTGCCATTTCTTGCTCATTATTTTCTGCTTTCGCCATGCGGTAAACATATCTTTGGATTGTAATGTTGACATCCTCTGATGGAACAGCATCCAGCTATAAAACAAAATCATTTGTGTTTTAAATCTCTTTTCTTTTAATCCCAATCCATAACAAAATATGAAATCTTTATCTTAAAACCTCTTGTCATTCACTCAAATGAACAGCATAAACATGTAGTCTGTATCCTAAAAATTCACATAATTCACTCAAACATACAATAAAGAAAAAAAGTTTGTATCCTAAAAACTCACCCAAATAATGAAGTAAAGACATATAGTCTGTATCAAAAACACAATTGTCTTTCATCAAGTTATAAAAAAGATATCTAATAACATCCAATGTAACTCCTATTTAATAAGCCTATGGTATTATATCTTCAGACATGTTATTTACAAAGTCAAGTAATTATTTTATATATGTCATAGACATATTGTAAATGTGTTGCATAGTTTGAAACATTTTCTTCAGATTGGTGAAGTCAATAGAATTGAAGTTCTTATAACACAACCAGCAGAAGTGTTGCACATATTTTACATCCCATGTTGCTTTTTTGTTTTTCCTGGATAAAGCATATCTAGCTGGTGAGAAACCATTTCAAAACTTAAAAATTTTCTTCAAGTCATCTAGAGGTTCCAACTGATTTTGTCATATCATGACCTGTTTAAATTGTGAAAAACACAAGAATCACCTAATATTTCTTCCCTTTTTTATCATTATTTCAAAATTTTAAAATTAATTTTTGGATCAAATACAGTCAAATACTGTTCCAACATAACCCAGATCATAATCTGCCATACATTCATACAGATAACAGACCAGTAGCATTGGTTAGGTCTTTTTCCTTGATAACCAATTTAAACACCCAGTCACCACTGATTTTTAAAACACCCTGTAACACTCTGAAGGACTTTCATCAAATATGAGATGCCTAGAGGTTGGTGATGCTGGTTGTCTATTTGAAACATTTCATTACAGAAACTCACATTTGGGTTTGGAGCATCTAAAACAATGTGATTGTCTTGTTCATATCCCAAAAAGGTTGACAGCATCAACAGGTTCATTTCCTGTGTGAAAAACAAGTTACAAGAAAAAAGATATTTACAAAAACTGATTTTTCTCAATAATCAAAAAAGGGATTCATCTTCACTAATTTTCACATGACTTGATTCCCCATCAAAGTCTCCAAATTTTTACAAACAACCTCTTTTGAAAAACATTTTTTGTTACAAGAAACTTAACTCTACATTGATCAATTAAGTTTTACAGCAAACATTGACCTAATCCATCGACAGATTGAACTTTACTGAAATATAAGTTAATATATGATGAAACAGAAATGAGAAACAAAGATTATCTTTGAGGAGAGCTCCATACTTGATTTTCAATCCCTTTTTGATATTATGTTATATTATATTAAAAATTAGAAGGTGTCAATGTTGGAAATAAAGTAAGATTTCATTAATTTTTTTTTCATATTTTACTTACATCAACTGTTACTCTCATCTTTCCAAAGTTCAATCATTCAGATAAGTTAAGGAGAGCAAAATTCAACTAATATGGTCCCAATTTACTTAGCAGCAGCATCAGTCAGGGTCACACAGATAAATTTTTAACACCCAAATAACACCTGATGTGTGTTAGCTGTACCCTCACTATCATTGAATTTAATCATTTACAAAAACTGATTTGTGATGAGTAATCGCTCTTGTTCAAAGGCAAAAAGCATAAAAATGAGATTGGGGTGAACATCTTCATAGAACATTTATGTTTGAAGATGCTTTCAAGACTATGAAATAATACACAATGTATATGTGTGTGACCTATTCAAATTTCAAGTTTCAAACAATGTTCACTTTTTCAAACAATTATTCAGCCAGAAAACTGATTAATTTTTATTAGTCTCAATTTGGAATTAGTCAAGAAAATGTTTATCCAAACAACATACCAAATCTCCATATTCCATCACATGGCTCTGGTTGGTTTCCTTCCGAACAATTTGAAACTGTTCCTCAATGGTCTCAGAATTCAAATTACGCTGGGAGCAAGACATTTACTTTAAACATATGATATACATGTTGTTTATTGCATTTCTGAGAATCTACAACCAGCCCATTGGGGGCCATTAACAGCAGACTGAAGTCTAAACTTGATAAATTTAAGAATGAAGAATTGTCAACCTTCCTAAATATTAATTGAAATTCCTCTTTCATTGCAACAATTGCATTTTGATCATAAATCATGTAAATCAATTCAGTGTTTATAATTGTTACTGGTAATATGGTAATTAGACGGTATAGTCAAAGTGAATGCCATTTATGAAGTAAATTCAATATTTAAGCACAGTTTCAGTAGATAAAAGTCTTGTTTGGAGATATCAGAAGACTCACCTTGTCTGAATTCTGCATCCAGTTTACACTAAATAAATCTCCTAAGTATGTCTGCCGCTTCTTGTCGAAATAACAAGCATATGATGATTGTGTCGAATTAGCAGCTGTCACGGCCAAAACTGTAAATAAAAACATCAGTTGTTAGATAGTCAAAACAAATGTGTCTGTTTATAATGCAAACATACATGGCTTCCCTGGACGAATAAGAAAAAAAATCTTAAAATAGCCTATTGACCTTGACCTTAGCATCAAAATCAATAATAAACTGCTTTTTGTTTTAGGTTTTATCACAAAACCTGTCAGAGGGTTTGTAAATCATGTCCTTAACACTCATATCCCAGAATACTTAACTGTTCAGTTTGAGGTATTTCCATGGCATTCTTATAAAGGCTTCTTTGAAAATCTCTAAGAAAACGCCTTTTCACTTCAATAGTATTCCCATATATTTAATGCTGATGAAAGTGTACTTACAAAATCTATTTTCATTGTTGAGAAAAAATTGTCATGAAAAATCTGGAAGTGAGACCCTTATAAAGAGATAAATGAATGCTATGTTCCTGGCTTGTGTGGTTTTGAACATGAATTCTAACTTAAACTCTGGGTTGAGGTGTTTCTAGTCCACAAATTGAGAAAAAGGTTCTGTTAATTTGTGATGTATAGATACTTACTGTTGTAGTCCTTCTGGATTAAAGAGCTGAACATGGATCCAGACTCACATGTCTCCAGATAGAACAACAGCTGTCAACATAACAAAATCACAATTCACACAATTGACTTCTGAAGTCTCACCATACAGAAATATGAGAACTTGCCGAAGTTTTTTTTTTTTTTTATTTCATAGTGATAACATTGTTTATAAATCATGTCAATTAAAAATCTTGTTGATTCAAATATTTTTGAAGAAATTCTTGCCAGTTATGAAAATTAATTTATGGAAAAATTTTTTTCATCCTTAAAGATTTAAATTTCTATTTTTGTCCTGTATGTTTGGTTTATCTTCCCTTGAACAGCTAGGGTAACTTTGAGGCGGGGTCTCCTTGTAGTAGCCGGTGACTACCTTACTGAACAATATACAGGATACCAATTGTATCTCATCCAAAGCAATTACAGCGAAGTGTTTCACTCCGAGGTCACAACCGAGTCAGCACAGATTAGTCAGTTTCTCAGCATGGGTAAGAAGTGTCAAACCACACACCTTGGGTCTTCACCTGAGGTTACGTAGTCTAACTCTGGCTGAGCTAATGCAGTGCATTTTTGTCCTGATTCGAGTTGTACACACTAGAACCTAACTTCATTGTGTACACCAAATTTGTTGTCTTGAGTTCTTATATTTTCCGATTAAACATCTGAATGGAACTTCTTGATATAGGGTAAGGACAACAATGGAAAAGTTGAACTTATGTCTGACTTCTGCCCTTTTGTTGTGGTAAGACCTAAAACAACTTCAGGCATGAAAAAGACAATGAGCCAAACTATATACTTTAGCATTGAAAAAGAGCCAATGTTTTATCAAATCAGTCTACCTTAACGTAGACGAGCTTATTATCAAAATCATTTACTTTAGCGATGAAAAGGATGAGCTTATTATCAAATCCATGTGAGTAATATATGCTTTTACCTGATGGAACTGTTTATTATCATGCATTCGGTCCAAGGCAATATTTAAATCCATGGCATGAAGCTGAAACAAGGTAAGATATTTAGAGAATTTATAATGAAACATTAAGGTCAGATATACAGAGAAATTATAATGAAACATCAAGGTCAGATATTTAGAGAATTTGTAATGAAACATCAAACATTAAAGGAAAAGGGATTCATTTTTTTAAAAAACAGTTCATGAGCAAATAACTATATATTATATATTATAGTGATAAGCCCTACCAACAGAAAACCATAATCTCTGAATAAATTATCAAAAAAGTAATACAAAGGATAAATTGACAAGACAATCAGCATGAATTTCTGAAAGCCCTTAAAAGGATACTTACAAACTGATCTGGGAAGGCAATGAGACCTGGTGCTCCATGGTCCACAAAGTTGACAAAAACATTATCTTCAGAGTTACTACAAAGCAAAAGAAAAGTACACTTCAACTATAACTGATAAACTATGATCAAAGACACCTGCTGTAATCGATAAATGTTGATTATAGACACCTGCTGTCATTGATAAATGTTGACTATAGACACCTGCTGTAATTGATAAATGTTGACTATAGACACCTGCTGTAATCGATAAATGTTGACTATAGACACCTGCTGTAATCGATAAATGTTGACTATAGACACCTGCTGTAATTGATAAATGTTGACTACAGACACCTGCTGTAATTAATAAATGTTGACTATAGACACCTGCTGTAATTAATAAATGTTGACTATAGACACCTGCTGTAATTGATAAATGTTGACTATAGACACCTGCTGTAATTAATAAATGTTGACTATAGACACCTGCTGTAATTGATAAATGTTGACTATAGACACCTGCTATAATAGATAAATATTGACTATAGACACCTGCTGTAATTAATAAATGTTGACTATAGACACCTGCTGTAATTGATAAATGTTGACTATAGACACCTGCTATAATAGATAAATATTGACTATAGACACCTGCTGTAATTAATAAATGTTGACTATAGACACCTGCTGTAATTGATAAATGTTGACTATAGACACCTGCTGTAATCAATAAATGTTGACTATAGACACCTGCTGTAATCGATAAATGTTGACTATAGACACCTGCTATAATAGATAAATGTTGACTATAGACACCTGCTGTAATCAATAAATGTTGACTATAGACACCTGCTATAATAGATAAATGTTGACTATAGACACCTGCTGTAATCAATAAATGTTGACTATAGACACCTGCTGTAATCGATAAATGTTGACTATAGACACCTGCTATAATAGATAAATGTTGACTATAGACACCTGCTGTAATCAATAAATGTTGACTATAGACACCTGCTATAATAGATAAATGTTGACTATAGACACCTGCTGTAATTGATAAATGTTGACTACAGACACCTGCTGTAATTAATAAATGTTGACTATAGACACCTGCTGTAATCAATAAATGTTGACTATAGACACCTGCTGTAATCAATAAATGTTGACTATAGACACCTGCTGTAATTAATAAATGTTGACTATAGACACCTGCTGTAATTGATAAATGTTGACTATAGACACCTGCTATAATAGATAAATATTGACTATAGACACCTGCTGTAATTAATAAATGTTGACTATAGACACCTGCTGTAATTGATAAATGTTGACTATAGACACCTGCTGTAATCAATAAATGTTGACTATAGACACCTGCTGTAATCGATAAATGTTGACTATAGACACCTGCTATAATAGATAAATGTTGACTATAGACACCTGCTGTAATCAATAAATGTTGACTATAGACACCTGCTATAATAGATAAATGTTGACTATAGACACCTGCTGTAATCAATAAATGTTGACTATAGACACCTGCTGTAATCGATAAATGTTGACTATAGACACCTGCTATAATAGATAAATGTTGACTATAGACACCTGCTGTAATCAATAAATGTTGACTATAGACACCTGCTATAATAGATAAATGTTGACTATAGACACCTGCTGTAATTGATAAATGTTGACTACAGACACCTGCTGTAATTAATAAATGTTGACTATAGACACCTGCTGTAATCAATAAATGTTGACTATAGACACCTGCTGTAATCAATAAATGTTGACTACAGACACCTGCTATAATAGATAAATATTGATTATAGACACCTGCTGTAATCGATAAATGTTGACTACAGACACCTGCTATAATAGATAAATGTTGACTATAGACACCTGCTATAATAGATAAATATTGACTATAGACACCTGCTGTAATTAATAAATGTTGACTACAGACACCTGCTATAATAGATAAATATTGACTATAGACACCTGCTGTAATTAATAAATGTTGACTATAGACACCTGCTGTAATTAATAAATGTTGACTATAGACACCTGCTATAATAGATAAATATTGACTATAGACACCTGCTGTAATCAATAAATGTTGACTATAGACACCTGCTGTAATAGATAAATGTTGACTATAGACACCTGCTGTAATCGATAAATGTTGACTATAGACACCTGCTGTAATCAATAAATGTTGACTATAGACACCTGCTGTAATAGATAAATGTTGACTATAGACACCTGCTGTAATCGATAAATGTTGACTATAGACACCTGCTATAATAGATAAATATTGACTATAGACACCTGCTGTAATTGATAAATGTTGACTATAGACACCTGCTGTAATTGATAAATGTTGATTATAGACACCTACTGTAATTGATAAAAGTTGACTATAGATATCTGCTGTAATTGATAAATGTTGACTATAGACACCTGCTTGATTGATAAATGTTGACTATAGACACCTGCTGTAATTGATAAATGTTTATGCACTTATACCAGTGGAAAACTAGAACATGTAATAGAGCAGAAAACAAAATAAATTTGCCTGATAGTTTAGTACATGTTCAATATCTCTTATTCTCTCTCTCCTTTAACCAAGATTGTGACACAAATTCTACAATCTTCCTTATTCTCTCTCTAAATTCTACAATCTTCCTTATTCTCTCTCTGCTTTTACCAAGATTGTGACACAAATTCTACAATCTTCCTTATTCTCTATCTCCCTTTACCAAGATTGTGACACAAATTCTACAATCTTCCTTATTCTCTCTCTCCTTTAACCAAGATTGTGACACAAATTCTACAATCTTCCTTATTCTCTCTCCCTTTACCAAGATTGTGACACAAATTCTACAATCTTCCTTTTCTGGAATATATCTACATATGAATGACTTCTTTTCTCTCATATCTTACCAAAGGTCAGACTAAATGACCTTTACAGTTCATCAGTTGATACAATGTTAGCTTCCAGGCTACTAATAACCTGACCACAGATTCAAGCCTCAAGGGTGACAGACTCTCTGACTGACATTAACTTTAGAAATTTTTAATAAACATTCACACTGATATGTTTGAAACCAAATATACACCCATAAACAGGGAACATCTTTCAGCAGTGAGATCTGAAAAGTCTTTCAACTGGAACAGGGTAGGATGTACATCTCTATGATATGATAAATACAGAAAACCTGAACAAATTATCACCAATAAAAGTGATATTCAATCACCTGTTATTTCATGTAATAATTCTTCAACATTCCTCAAAAGCATGTAAATCGTTAGAGTAAAAACGGTAGACAATGAAAATATTTCAGTCTGTTCTTAAAAGAAATCTAAAGGTGAAACTATTGTATGTGTAAAAATATTATTTAACTTATGTCAGCTGTGAAAGAAATCAACATTAGATAGGAATCTTTTGTAATTAAATCACAGCTTTTGAATATATTTTGTTACATGATTTGGAACACACATAAAATGTCTGCTATGGTAACACAAATTTGAATCTTATTTACGGACAGCAGTCCTACCTTTTTATAACTTTTCCACTGCCAACGCCCTTCACATTTTCTTCTTTTCCTTGTAGTACATCTAGAAATGTCTTTGGATTGACATCCTTCAAAATTAAGAGAGTGAAGACTTATTCATCACATTGATAGGTGTCAAAGAAAAATACCTTTATTCTTGTTTGAATTTGAGTAAAAGATTTTGAAAGGTGAAAATTGCTGTGTGTTTCTCCACAGAATCTGACGATGTTACATTATGCTGCACTATTAAGTAATACTTTTGAGAAGGAAACTGTAACAACTTAGAAAATCCAACAAACGAAGATAAAAATAATAAATAAAAATTATGATATCAAGATTCTACTGTAAAATGATTTTGGTTTGCTTATGATTTACATTCAGAATTTTCGCAATTAAAACAAAATTTAATCAAATGAAAACATTGATAATAAATGATATTCTAGTATCATGTATATTCAGTAATGGAAACTTATGATTTGAAAATCATCAGTAATTAATCTTATAATATTCATGTATAAGTTAATGATGTAAAATCCGATCACTCATTTAGTACACATATTTCTTTGAATATCAAACTTCTGAAAACACAATCAATGTTTCTATTTTAGGCTCTGACTATTCTAATAACAATTCACTGTAAGCACACTAATCACTCAAACAATTTTAGATAAATAGTTTGATTTTTTGTCTGACCTTTCCTTTGTAGTCTATGGTCACTCCCTTGTAAACATTCTCACCTCCTGGTTGGTTGATTATCTCCCCTGGGTAGGGATTTCTAAACAAAGAAATTTTTGCACATGAGATAAATTTACATATACCACTATTAACTTCATCTTTGAATCTGAAGTGATTTTCCAATATCCAATTGTGAAAATAGGATATCCTGCCATTAAATATCCAATTGTGAAAATACAATAGCCTGCCATTAAATATCCAATTGTGAAAATAGAGTATCTTACCATTAAATATCCCAGTGGTGGAAATATAATAATTGGCCATTAAATATTCTATTGGTGAAAACAAAATAACTTGCCATTAGATATCCCATTGGTGAAAAAAGAATAACTTGCCTGTAAATATTCCATTGGTAAAATAGAATAACTAGTCATTACATATCTACTAGAATTCATGGGCCATATTTCATGAGTAGAACATTTTCATTTTGAAAACAACTTAATCTAGCTGTTGTATATTTCATGGGAATATGACATCAAATCCTAATTTAGAAACTTAGAGATAAAAGAACACTATTACCACAGACAAAATAATATTACTTTCATGACTAATTTCAGAGTGTTGGATTTAATTGTATAGTGTGTATTAAATTATCCTGTCACTTTAACCAGTGTTATCTCAACATTCATATTATATTATTGTAATAGGAAGGAGAAATGCTGAACACCTGCCTCCTCCTCTGAGATTTAAACTAGCGATCATTCAGTCTCTAGCTGGACACTCTACTACGTAACTAACATCCCACAAGCCCAGGCTGGTAATGTGACCTGTATCCTCAACTTGTACATTATCATAATTACTTCTATCAGGTTACTAATTGTTACACCCTAATTAATTTGAAGTGTGTTAATTAACCAGATAAGACTCGTGTTAACACACTTGTTCTGTAAATGTTATCACTGTATACATGTCTATCAGAAGGTACTTACTCTGCATTATAGGCTATGTCATCATACATCATTACGATGATCTGTTCCTCAGGTATCCCATGGCTACGTACTATATGGTAGGCATGACAAACGTCTGCCTAAAATAAAAAAAAAATTATAGCCTTCCAAAACACAAGACACCCAAGGGCCCTGCACTGCTTTTCTGGCTAAATTTGCTATTTAGCCATTTAACAAAGCATTTCAAATATGACAAAAAATGCTGATATAATTTCCACTGTGCATCACGGCACTGTGCTCAAACAGAACTCACTGTTCATAAAAACTGCTTCAGACCAACCAGGGGCTGGGATGCACTGTTCATACAGTCCACTTCACCCACAAATACTTCGGGCCAAATTTGGGCAATATCCGTTTATTCCTATAGGAGGAGTAGGATTTTAAAGAAATTGCGAAATGTTACCTTTTGGGCCCTGCCCCATGGCCTCTGGGGGCCAAGAACCAATACTTAGACAAACTTGGTTCCCTTAACCAAAGGGTGTTTCTGACCACATTTGATCAAAACCTGGTCAGTCATTCCTGACTAGAAGTGACATCGGATGCTGTGCCATGGCTTATGCTCAGGGGTCCTTTGGGTCAGGTGAGCTAATAAAGGTAGTAAATAAGGTAAACATACTGCTCAAATTGTTCTCTATTTGTGTTTTTTGTTTTTTTTCCGAGGTTTCAAATTTATTTTATCATTATAAAAGAGTCGAGTCTGATATCATCTACTTCAAATCTTTGTAATAACTTTGGCCTCTGTCTGGATATTTATGGTTAATCTTTGCATGTTTAAAAATATGGGGCCAAGAACCAATACTTAGACAAACTTGGTTCCCTTAACCAAAGGGTGTTTCTGACCACATTTGATCAAAACCTGGTCAGTCATTCCTGACTAGAAGTGACATCGGATGCTGTGCCATGGCTTATGCTCAGGGGTCCTTTGGGTCAGGTGAGCTAATAAAGGTAGTAAATAAGGTAAACATACTGCTCAAATTGTTCTCTATTTGTGTTTTTTGTTTTTTTCCGAGGTTTCAAATTTATTTTATCATTATAAAAGAGTCGAGTCTGATATCATCTACTTCAAATCTTTGTAATAACTTTGGCCTCTGTCTGGATATTTATGGTTAATCTTTGCATGTTTAAAAATATGTTTGCCTTTTATTTTGGTAACCCATGCAGGAATGTTTTTTTTTATTATTATTATTATTTTATTTTTCCAAGTTCACATAAAACATTACAATAGCACAAGTACCGTGCCTTGATATTTCACTCTGGAATGTCGAAATGGCGACCGCCGGCACGAAACTCCAGTCTCTCGGCGTAGTCAAATGGCGTTCGCAGTTTCCCCATGTCGAAGTCGGTGTAAACAATCTATCATAAAATACCTTCGGATACCGCGGTGGGTACAGATACCATGAAAGATCATACTTATACTGAACAAACCACCTGCTTTTATGGGGACAAGGTAGGATTGAAAATAATCAGTTAAAACAACATTGTTTTCTGACCAATAGTACGCGTTCAGCCCAAGCCGGGTGTCATCAGTCTCCTCATACTCAACGTGGTAACTGTCATTAACCGTTAATTATACCATCAGCCAAGCCTTTCATGCTTGTTAGGTCACCTGGGTAAATTTGTTTACTTAAGGTGTTAGGGTCACGCTCATTGTGGTTTCCTAATTAGCAATGGATCAGACCACATCAAATGTTTCGTCGCAGTGACCAGTCAATTAATTTTTCTGTAAATTTTTTTTTTTTTAATCTGATCTCCAAAAAGTACCTGCGCACTATACGCGAGTGCGCACTATACGCGAATATTTATATATATTCATGATTGATGTCAACTCTTACATATGTACAAGTTATTAATATACTCGTCAAACATGATATATATATATTTTTTTTAATTCATTTCTTATATAAATCTAATGATCTAGATCCAGTGCTGTGGTGATAGATCTCCATTTTTCTCTGATATGGTCTGCATTTGTCTGGGTATAAAAAAATGCACTCTGAATGTCAATCTGCTTATAATATGATAACATCGATTTGACTCCATCAATAGATGGAATAGTATTTTTGCATTTGCATGTATGAATATATTTTTTTACCAGTAGAATGCAAATATTTATATCATCAAATTGAGGATCATTATTACAGCCTAAAAGGACAAAAGGACAAGTCATATGAAATACTACATTTAGATTAGACTCAAAGCCATTTTTTAAGGATTCCCATAGGAAGCGAGAAAAGGGGCATTCCCAGAAAAGATGTTCAAGTGTTTCTCTATTAGCCAAACAAAAAGTACAAAGCCCACTTTCCATGATTTTCATGATCAGAAGTCTAGAATTTGTGTATAAAATTCTATGAAGTATCTTAAATTGAAAGGTTTGTAAATTTGTATCGTCAGTTAGTAAAAACGGTGCCTTGTATATAGACTTTCAGTCTTCTCTATTAAATGAAGTTTCTAATTTTTCATTCCATTTTTCTAAAATTTTAACTGGAAATTCCTGATGATCCATGATAAAAAGAAACATTTTCACAACTTTTTCATTTGACTTAAAAAGAGAAACTAATTTGCATTCAGTGTTAGTAATTTTTTCATCATCATGGATGAAATTTTTTTTCCAACTCCTCGGAATAGCTGAGTGTAGCCCTTGATAAGTAACCACATCAGTATTTATATTGTGCTTCTGCTTAAAGTCTTCAAAAGATAGGAATTCTCCATTTTCATTTATTAAATCATTTATGAAAAACACATCATGCTCTATCCACTTATAATATATGACATGCTTATTTGTATTTTTTCATTTAGCCATAATGGCTGGGATAATAGACCATTTGGGGGTTGTGGGAGGTGAACGTTTCAAAGAAGCCCAAATTTGAATTACATTGCACCAAAATGTGTTAAATTTTATAGAAATTTTCTGTAGTCCTTCTCTATTCAAGTTCCAGAGTTTATCTCTGCCCCCCCCCTCCCCCCCCCCCCCATTATTTCTACCTTACTTGATATTAATATTTTCCAATTTGAATAATTTTCTGGATCCAACAATTTCCTTATCCATGATATTTTTTGAGCTCGGCAATATGATTTTACATGTGGCATTCCTAATCCTCTATTTTCATATGTGTTTATCAATATATTTCTTTTAATTTTGTCCTTTTTCCAAGACCACAAAGAGTTGAAAAGAATCTTTTGAAGGTTTTTGAAAAATGTCTCTGGTGGATCTGGAAGTGTAGAAAATAAACGTGGAAATATTGGTAGTACTAATGTTTTTATTACTGTAATTTTACCCAAATAGCTCAAATTTCTGAAGGACCAGTCATTTAATAGTTTTTTAGCTGCTCTAATTTTTTCTTCAAAATTATGTTCAGTGATATCTGCTCTTGTGAGGTCATACCATATGCCTAGTAGTTTGAACTTTCCATTATGATTCCAATGTAGACCTCGCTCCTGTAAGTATTGCTCACCACAACCCTGTTTAACACCAATCCATATTATTTGAGTTTTGTCCATGTTTGTTCTTAAACCAGAACAATCAGAAAAAAGATCAAGAGTGTTCAAGGCATTTTCTAATGAAGTTTCATCATCGTCTAGACATAACGTTGAATCGTTTGCGTATTGGCTCAACATATAGTCAGAGTTTTCTATGTTTATACCTGTTATGTTTGAATTAAATTTAAGGGATGAACAAAGCAATTCTATAGATAAGATAAAAATATACAGAGACAAAGGGTCCCTTTGTCTAACTCCTCTTTCGATATCAAAGAATTGTGAAATATGTCCATTATTAGAAATACAGCTTGAACAGTTATTATAGAACGTTTTTATCCATCTTCTTAAATTAGGCCCAAATCCTTGAAATTCTAATGCTTTTGAATAAATGTCCATTCTAAGGAATCGAAAGCCTTTTCAAAGTCTAGTAATACAAGTAATCCCGGTATATTATTTTCATGTGTTTTTTCGATTATATCTAAAATAAATCTAGTACATTTCCCTATGTATCTATCCTTTACAAAGCCTTTTTGTGACTTGCTAATAAGTTTTTTTAAGTAAGGTTTAATTCTGTTTGCACTACTTGCCGAAACAATTTTACAATCTACATTTAAAAGTTCAAAAATATATTTGCCTTTTATTTTGGTAACCCATGCAAGAAAGTTGACTGTGACAATTGCTGAGGTTCTATCTGTCACTACTGGCAAGATTACGAAAAAAATGACAGCTTGAAAATAGGATTAATTAAGAAAATATTTATATTAGGTTTCATTGATTTCTTTGAAAAATGCACCCTTTAATGTAACTATGACAAAAAAAACCTAAATTCTAAATATCACGCCCTCATTGTTTAGTTAATCATTAGGATTTACTAACTTGTTTCCTGAAACATCATGTGAGAGGAGGGCTTGGCCATCAAAAGGACTCATGTGGCAATTACCCATGCACCGACAGCTTAAACAACATTGGTTGGTTTCAAGTAAATATTCACCTGTCTTAATAAGGTTTTGATATAATTCATCACTAAAAATCTACATATTTTGTTTATTTAAAACTGATCTTCAGAAAATGAGTTAAAAATACCTGTACTTTGAAACGCATTCTCATGTATAAAATCATACAGTTAGTAAATTTTCATTGTAAAGCTAACAAATTTCAAACCTGACCAATCTTGGTTAAATAAGGTAATAAACATATTGATAAGATAAGCAGTGTAATAGTCATGGTCTTGTGAAGGGATCCCATCACAGGACCTGGCACAGTATGGGACAGGATAGTATTATATATCACACAACGACATCTTAACTCAACCACTTAACTACTTATCTATACATTATCAAATAGATTTAATTTTGTTAAGTCAACACCTGGTCACAGAATTAACATATGTCCTGTAAGTTCATTTTATATACCAAAGGTCAAGTCCATTGTTTCGCATAGTACCAGGCCCCGAAAACCACCAAGTGTATATTGCTAATAAAGATAAGTATTCAAGTACCTTACATGTTATGATGTATTTGTCCTATCACAAGGATTATTGTTAACTCTAGAATCATGGTCTTATTTCAGGGCATTCTTTCAACTCATTCAACTCAAAAGAGATTCTTTTTTAATCTCAAATTAGGATGGACATTTTAAGGTGTAAACTATATATCAAGGGAATTTAGCCGTATTATGAAATAAATCCCATTGGGAATATGGCCCATAATCGGCCCCACTGACTGAGCCCTCTAAAAAGAGCTCTCTGTTAAAAGATGCCAGATTAAGAGGCTATGCTGGTCTCTAAATAATCCAGAACATTTAAATCTAATCTAGGAATAAAGTTTGTTATCTTATGAATATATAATTTACTATATGTAACAAGAACATATAAAGAAATGAGGACATGGACTAGAATTAAACCCATGTCCACCAAACTCTTGTCCAACTTTCTAAAATAAAATTATAAAAGAGATCCCAGACAGCTCTTGTTGCGAAGCATTTTTTATCTTGATGTGTATTTCTTCCTCTGTTTTTGCTCTTAAATATATGAAAGTTGAAAATGGACCAAGGAGAACCTTGACATATAAAAATAAAGAAAGATCCATTTAGTACATCTCGGGGAAATAGTGATCACAAACTTCAACTGTCAATATCCAAGATGGCCTCCTATCAGCCATTTTGTTTTCCTGATCAGTCTTAAATTGCATAGGCACAATTAGGAACCAAGAGACCCCTACACATCATGTTTCAGAAGTATCCTTCCAGTACTTCTAAATAAATAGCCATAACAACCTATCAAAATCGTGAGAGTATGGGTAAAATGTATGTAATCAGTAGCCATATGAAACGCAGAAAGGGTATTACTGTATATGTCACCTAGTAAATGTTTTGTCTAAGTTTCCTTCGGCTCCTTCATCAAATGTTAGACATTTCCATGCATAAATGAACTGGATCCCTTGTGTAGGAGCTAGAAGAAAATCTCATTAGAGATATTGTGATGTTGACTTTACATATTGGTCTGGCCCCAGTTGTTTAAAGGCTGGTTAAAGTTAACCAGTGGTTAGTGTGTATTTTCAAATATGAATTAAACAAAATTGGGAGCATTTGTTGAGATAGAATAGAATGACATATTTTGAGTTTTGATTTTTCTCTTGATATTATCGTTAAGTCAGTGGCAACAATTTTGATATTTCACTGACCAGTGGTGGATTCTAGAACCATATAAAAAGTTGATCAAAAGTCAGAATAATTTTGCAGTAGAGGAAACTCTGGCCATGGTCAAAGCTACATAACCTACATTAAGATAGGCATTCTTCAACAAAATAAAATTTTGAGGTCTAAACAAAATTATTTTAACACTAAAAGTTTTCCTTCTTGCAGATCACAGGTTATTCAGAAAACAATGGTAATTAATAAATAATGATGATCAGAAAACAGTGGTAATTAATAAATAATGATGATCAGAAAACAGTGGTAATTAATAAATAATGATGATCAGAAAACAGTGGTAATTAATAAATAATGATGATCAGAAAACAGTGGTAATTAATAAATAATGATGATCAGAAAACAGTGCTAATTAATAAAGAATGATGATCAGAAAACAATGGTAATTAATAAATAATGATGATCAGAAAACAATGGTAATTAATAAATAATGATGATCAGAAAACAATGGTAATTAATAAATAATGATGATCAGAAAACAATGGTAATTAATAAATAATGATGATCAGAAAACAATAGTAATTAATAAATAATGATGATCAGAAAACAGTGGCAATTAATTGTCAGAGATTTTAGTATACTTTACCTATAAACTTAGGATTAGAAAGAATAGCAATAGCACATGTATAACCGCACACAAAGAGTAAGAAAAATTGTCATTTACAGACCACGTTGTAACCTGGTCTGAAGGGTTTTATCTATCCAAAATTTTATCTTAAAATGCAGATAGTCAGAACCCTTCCGGGTATTTGTAATGCACATGCATCATCTATATTGCACATATTATATTTCTGCAACCAACCAAACAAAACACTATAAAAACTTTGACTCAAAGTGATAGGGAATGGGCTCATTCCTCATCCCGTTGAACAGGAATAGATTATAAATGAGGACGAATTTTTAAAAATCTAACACGGACTTCTTGGTGGATAAATAAAGTAAAGGAAGAAGCAATGAGGCAAGCTTATTGTTGAAAATATCAAGATACACAAAAATGTCACACATTTACAACTTTGTGTAAATCAAATGTTCAGAAACATTATAATCATTTATTCAAGCAGCTAGTATCTTGTACAATTATCTATATAAAGTTTCAGGTGAGGCTCTCCTAAATTGTTAAATAGCATTTCTAAAAAAATACACCTTAAACTAATTTCACAATCTAAGCTTGGTAACCTGAAGATATTCAATTAATGAACCAACGTAAACAGCTGAATAAACCATAGATATATTTAAGATCTATGACATATAATTACGTCTCAGTTTTTCCACAAGATTACCTGATGCCTGTAGTTGCCCCAGCCATTGGACCCAGCCACAAGCAAAGCCCACTGTTTACCATCTTTTTTCAATTTTGGTAATTGATAATCAGGAGGAATGGCAAATGTCACAGTAACAGAAAAAATAACAAGAACTGCTCCGGACCACATCCTGGTTGTCATTTGATTTTTACTTGACTGAACGCGATCACATGCCTGTCGAACGTTTTTGTTTACTAGTCTTTCGGGACGCAGCATACAGGCAGCACAAAGAGGTATTCCGAAAGGTAGGAAACATTAGTTTCGTTTTGCTGGTGACGCATACGTTGACATACAACTGGTGCTTAGCTCGATGATTAAAAAAATAGTAATATATAGTATAGGTATAGTAAAGTGAAGCCATTGATAAAGTCAACCGTATAGTGGAATGAATCTATTGCCTCATAGTAAAGTGAAGCAGCTTTATAATGTTTTCAATTGATGCTTCACCACAATTTTTAGGACTTTGTTTAATTCTGTTCCTCCACACATAAAACAAAAAAAATACAAGGCAAGGAAAATGATGGTGGGGAGGGGGTCCTCACTTTACCATATTGCCATAGTCAAGTAAAGCATTTCACGATTTTCTTACTTATTGACATTTTCACCAAACTTTCGTAAGTTACACCGAATAATTCTTTCAAACACATGACATGGTAAAATGAAGCATTTCACTATTTCTCTACTAATTATATTTTTCCATCGAATATTTTTAAAAAAATCTCGATTAATTTCTTCAAATGTCAGGAATAGGGAGAATAGGGAATGGGGACATTCTTGGTGGGGTAAGGAGTTATTGGTAAGAAAAAGTGTAACACAGGTGTAAACACATGTACTTGTTGGTAATAGCCATGTTTATTACATGTTGAATAATAATAATGTTACATGCACAAAAGCAACATCTCATCAACATGTAGAGTTCATATACTCATACTAGTACTTCACGTTGTGTCTCGTATCAGAACTGTCCATCTGGTGGGCTCCCCCAAGGCTGTGTGTTCTAACCTAAAGATATACCCCCTTCTATCTTACTCTGGACCAAGTTTGTCCGGCCATCCCCTTATATGGACTTCACTTGCTAGATGATACGATTGTTGAAGTATAGCCACCTGTACTCGAGATACAAGGTTAAGATTCCCCCTGCTAATTTGTCACTTGAAATAGACCCTAATAATTAATCTACTACTAGGTGGCCACTGCCTGAACAGGAAATTGCATAAGTTTGATTATCAAGGAAGTGGGGATAGTCTCTAATTAATTACCTGGCCGAAGCTGTACACCCACTGATAAGATTCTTGGGGCCCAGACTACACCAACCTAAGTGTATATATGCAAGTAATTATCCACACCCCTGTGAATTACCTATGTGTTTTATTGATTTACTATTGAACACTAAACAAACTTTTGTTTAAGCTAACTTATTTCAACCAATCCCATATGCAAATCCAGCTGTGTTACAGAATAGACTAATAGGATCAGAAGATATCAGTGCTGTCCACTGTAAAATATGAAATATCGGTGCGCATTCATAATTCCCATCCAGTATACCCGATATTACGTATTGATAAAATTAATCAACCAGTCAGTCAAAGATTGACTTCTGTATCCGAGTTACAATAATATCGCAACCACATTTTGTAACAATATACCTACACCCTATTTTGTAACAAAAGTCTTCTTGATAAGAAAATTGTGAAAAGCTTCACTTTACCATCCTTAATTTCGCTACCCATAAATTACATATTTTTAGTTGTTCACATGTTTAAAACAATGAATCGTTGGAATTTAAACCAGAAGAATCATGGTGCCCATCATTGTTTGATCTTTAGTTGTTCTTAAAATTGGATCATTTCCCTTCTGTTCTCTTCTGTCCCCCTGTTTTTGCTCTTAATGATACTTAATCCAGGACTATGGCCACCTGTTGCCCCTTTTTTTCCCCTGATCAGTCCCAAAATCAAACGGGCACAATTAGAAACCAATGGAAACCTACAGATGAAATTTGAGAAAGATCCATCCATTACTTCTCAAGAAATGGTGATAACAAACTTTTTTCAAAATCCAAAATGTCTGGCTGTTGGCCATTTTTGTTTTCTGATCAGTCAAAAAATCAAAAGTGCACAACTAGGGACCAAGGGAAAATATCACTGTAAAACCTTATATTTCACTACGAAAAATATATAAATACTTTTGATTCCTGCTTTACAATGGCACAAAGACAAGTTTTGAAACGGGGAAATAAGCGCACCATATATATCTTATTCTCCATCAAGAAAATTCTACAGAAAAACAAATCTAAATCAGTGAGTATTGTCATATGTTTTAATAAACATTCATGCACATTTGAAGCCTAGCTTCTCGGTATGTATATATACACATAGGATATATTTAATCTTTCTCAGTGTTTAAGTCCCCTGTCTGCAGTAACAGACCCATGTGTTCTCATCAGCTTGTCTAAATCCATCTTGGGGTCAACAAGAGCTTACATTAAGATCTGAATTGGTAGGTTATTTTCAGCATTGTTTGTAAACAAGAAACATTGCTCTCTAAGGAACTGAAATTTTCACTAATAATCAGTTATTAAACATAGAGAAAATTGTAAATGAACACAAAAACAAAAAATTGATTCATCTTTCATAACTGATTAATATAACAGAATTATGACAATGTCTAATATACCATACAAAAAATATGTCTGAATATATGTACAATTACAAACCATACAATGAACACTTCCTTAACTTGACAATTTTCTATAGTGTCTAATATCATCATTTTAGGATCAATGTTTACTTAATCTTAATTTCTACATTTAAATATACCTTTCCAGACAGAATCAATTAATGAAATGCAAAAAGAAAAAAAATTGAAATGATGAAATACCAATCACAAGGTAGGTTTTTATTAAATTTTTAAAGACTGGATTTCAGCCTGTGGGCATGGACAAAAGAAAATGTTGGCTGTGTAATTCATTCATATCCACCAGTATCTATCATTATCTAATATCATTCTATGTTTTGTTACAGAAAGCTGTATTCCATACTACAGAATATTAAGACTTTGAGAACTGTCTGTATACTGTATATTGATGATACAGAATAGAATTATCTTTGCTAGCCAAATCAACTATGCACAATTTTCATTATTATATACGAGATGAACCCTTGGCAAGCAAAGATGGAACATAATGTTTAATTTGACATGTAAAATATAAGCGCACTCCATAACTACATTTTTTTTCTTTAATAAACAGACAATGCCTGAAAGAAAATACAAATTAAGGGGAGATAATTAATATTTTCGAAGAAAAAGTCGCTAGCCATGCTGCCCATGGCTGAGTGGCTGTTGTGTTTCTAACGAAATGATTTGTAATCAATAAACCTTTACTTTATGTCATTAACAAGTCGACAATAAAATCAAGATGATAAAGGTAAGCAATGGCGGTGGTTTTAGTTTATATAACAATATGATTCCAAAGAGGGATCATTAAAATCTTACAGGGTAATCATCAAAATCTTACAGTGTAATCATCAAATCTTACAGTGTAATCATCAAATCTTACAGGGTAATCATCAAATCTTATAGGGTAATCATCAAATCTTACAGTGTAATCATCAAATCTTACAGTGTAATCATCAAATCTTACAGGGTAATTATCAAATCTTACAGTGTAATCATCAAATCTTACAGTGTAATCATCAAATCTTACAGTGTAATCATCAAATCTTACAGGGTAATCATCAAATCTTACAGTGTAATCATCAAATCTTACAGTGTAATCATCAAATCTTAGTGTAATCATCAAATCTTACAGTGTAATCATCAAATCTTACAGGGTAATCATCAAATCTTACAGTGTAATCATCAAATCTTACAGGGTAATCATCAAATCTTACAGTGTAATCATCAAATCTTATAGTGTAATCATCAAATCTTACAGGGTAATCATCAAATCTTACAGTACTTCATGATGAATGCAATCAAGATCTGGATCAGCTGATACATGTATTATTCTTAATGTCTTGCATTAACTTGTTTTATATGGATCAATTACCCAAAGTGATGATCTTAAAATCAAACTGAACCTTGTTATAAATGCTGAACTGATTCCAGGACACACAATCTAAAATTTAAATGTTTCCTTTATTTTCTCTGTATTGTTCATTTAATATTAAACAAGGAATCAAGAATGCATGTGAATGGAGGAGTGTGTATTTTGATCCATTCTATTCCTTTAATATTCCAAAATCATCAACAGTTTCTAACAAGCATAATAATCTAAATGCTTGTTTTAAACGCTTTTGTATTCAGAGTACAAAGGATTTTCAATACAGCAGTGATGGGGCCCAGACACAAATACATGTATGGATTCTTTTGTTTCCAATGCCAAATATTTCTATAAAAATTATACCTAAGCAGAATGATATATAATACAGCTTACAAGATACAACAGTAGATGCCTCCACAAGAGGCAAAGATGGCTGCCAGGAGGGTGTTAAAAGTAAAACAAAGTTGTATGTAAAGTGTTTAGAGATTAACTCTGAAACCATGGCAATTGCACTGCATGGAACAAAAGGAGGGCCACTGATGTTTTCTAGTTCAGTTCTAAAAGTTTCAAAATCATAGATTGTTTGCTAGGAAACTGCTTTAAAAAAACAATGCCTGAACCATTCTTCCTCTTTTTGAATTTTGACAGACTTGTATCAAGGTCCCTTTGAAAGTAACACATATTTTAAGTTGACTAAAACATCGTTCAGATCAGAGAGGAACACAAAATGGCCAGCCAATTTGCATCAAAAAGTCATTTGTCTTATTTTCGTAGACAAAAAAGCTAACAAAAGATACATGTATGTACATTAAAAGTGACAATCAAATTACAAACTGTACCAATACTGTACTGGTGTACAAGCATACCGTTAATAACAACAAATACATTTAGTTTTTTAAAGCATGGACATCCTGGAGAACTCTGAACCACTATCAATGTATCATAAAACACTGCCAAGACTTCTATAGTCTCAAAGTTTTCCCCAAAGACTGTCCACTTGACCATCACTGCATGTTTCATCTTGACCATGATGATGACTGGACTCTTATACTGACTTATATTTTTTTAATTTGTCATGAACTTAAATGAAAATATTACCAAAAATATAAACTAAAAACAAAAGGCAGAAAAGAACATTTCACTGATTACAAGAAATGAACCAAGACTTGAATTTGTTTACAGAGATAACACAAACACTTACTGAAACTTAACAAAAGTGTGAACAAACAAAATATCTTGTTTTTATCAAAAAAAGACAAAAACTTAGCAAACTGGAATCCAGGTGACCTATTTCTGTGATGAGTAGAACAGTGCTATTTTACAACACACAAGGTATCTGAATAAATTCAACATATATCAGAAAAAAATTTAATTTTGCATTTTGTATGTGTTAATACTAAAAAATATTTAGATGGACTACATTTTCAACATGGTCACATATTTCCACATTTTGGGCAGTCTCCTAATGTACGAGTTAAGTATCGTGTGATATTGCAAAGTCATAACTTTTTGTTGGGAATTTATTTTGATGGATTTTGTGGGTACTCATTATTCAGGATTCAATATGTCCACAAGCTGTTAAAATAAGTGTAAGTAGATATATTGAGCTATATTTATTCACAAAATTAAGTGTCCACGAAATTTTTTTTTTTTTTTTTTTTTTGAAAAAATTGAGCTCCATCAAAAAATATGATTTCACAGTACCAAGGAAAAAATAAAAGATCTAAGAATATTTCATGAAGCTAAGCAGATTGATGATTCCTCTAATTCAATGTTGATATGCGTTATATACATAGTTCTATGGCTTCAAGCAACTACTCCTATTACAAGAATACAGATTCACCAACACAAGACATGAACATTTTCCCATACAAAAATCCAATTCACAAAATAGCAAATTTTCATACAATTGCCTTGTACTAGATGATTATAAAATAAAACACTGTCATGGGATGATGGCATGAATACTAGGACACAAGACATTGATAACATTTACCCCGCAACAACTTAAAAGCCACCATTGTGCATGTTTGGCTACATTTAATATTCTTCATTCAACACTATAACAATCTGTTCAGAAAAACCTCCATAGAGCTGGTTAATTTTGAGGAATAATGATAGCTATTCTCAAGTCATAGGTTATACACCTAATTGATGTAATGATATGACACATGCAAATGAAATTGTCAAAGTGTAACAGAGCCTATTCTACTACACTGGTTTCATTATCACTATTGCACCTCCAAACTGAGAACAAAATCACACTGATTACTGTTTGAAAGCTGACATTTCGAGCAATATCTGCAAAAATCAAATATACTTACAATTGTATCCTCAGATAGCAAAACAAGTTTTCTTTAATCATCGTTTTGTGTAAAAAAAAAAAAGAAATTTAACCAACAGAAATAATCAGCAATATGATGTATTTTCTTCCTCATCAACATGACATAAAAAATCCATCTAATGATAAAATATTTATATCTATTCTGGCTGTGTGTGAAGGGCGTGATATCTTTCCAATGTAAACAGATTGTATCAACCATTTTACCAATATGGCAACAATTTTCCAAAGATTATCTGTCTACTGTAACATTTACAAGATGGAAAATAAAAAGAAACTGCCATCTTTGTCAAAATTATCTGTTTTATAACCACACCGGTTGGTCTACAAATTAAAAATCTGTTCAAAAATCATGTCCAGATTGAACTCCATTAGGATTTTATGTTCTGCAATTTCTTATTCTTGATAAATCCTTTGGCATCTTTGACAAGCCTGCGAATATCTTCTGAATTTTCTGGGTCAAAATCTGAATCAGAGTCTCCTGGATTCGGTTCGGACTCATCGCTGTCTCCTGAGGAACGTGTGTCGTCGATGAAGGAGTCTTCATAATCATATGTATTTGGAAGACCATCATCATCACCCAGAGAATCTGTTTTCCTACCTGGAATAGTCAACAAAATTACCGGTACTGACATAAAAATAATAAATTGAAATAGGAGACAAAATATTCCTTATAATTTCAGTAAAATAATAAAAAAAAAATGGAAAAAAATCCTCAAACTTCTAAAACTCTTTTAAGCAAACTACACTGTACTATTTGCCACCGAATCAGTTAATGATGAAAGGAGTGCAACTTCAAGAAATAACAACATGGTATGCTCCCCATTTGGGATAAAATTTAAGTATGAAAAATAACAAAGGGCAATATGAGAGTTATGGTTCTTGTGCACCCTCCTACTCAATAAGACCTATCTACCTAGGAAGTTTCATATTATTACCTCTTATAGTTTTAGAGTAATGTTCCAAACAAAATTTAACTATGAAAAAATAACAAAGGGCACTAACTCCTAAATGCTGCAAAAAAGAGTGATGGTTCTTGTGCACTGAACTTCGCCTTATTCAGATCTATCTACCTATGAAGTTTCATGTTAACACCTCTTATACTTTTAGTGTAATGCTCCAGACAATATTAAAGTATGAAAAATAACAAAGGGCAATAACTCCTAAATTATGCAAATGAGAGTGATGGTTCTTGGTGTTTGTATTTGTGCACTGTACCTCTCCTTGCTAAGATCTATCTACCTATGAAGTTTCATGTTGATACCTCTTATAGTTTTTGTGTTATGCTCCAGACAAAATTATGATGGACGGACGGACAAAGCGGCAAATATATGGTCTCCCTACAGGGAGCATAAAAAGGGGGACATGGGGGGAGGTGGCATGAAGGCAAATCATTATGATCCCTACGTCCCACCATCATTTCCTCCTGATATCCTTTCAAGCAAGCAAAGCTATGTGTTCTGTCAATGTAATATCAGTCAACCAACTGGATGTTTATAGAAAATAAACATGCTGGTCTGTTTGACAATCAGTTTTAAAGGTGTTGAAAGTAAGGACAGGTTCAACCTTTGTCTAAGGCATCAATCTATATATTGCATATTTGGCACTGACATTCCAACCCAAAAATATAACCCTAACTGAAATAAGTAATGATATATGATCAGATCCAGTTTTTATTTAGCATCATTTCCAGCATCTTCTGTCTTCCCTGCAATATCCTGTATATTATGTCTTCTGTTTCAATGTCATATATAAACACTTGCTACCTACTCTTCCCAACACTGAAACATATGAATGACTTTGATTTGTGAGCTGGGCCTAACAAAACGCTGATTTTACAATGAGCTTTTTTCCCTTCCAATTGATAAAAAAAATATTTTCCTACCTACTGACCCAAGTTCTTCAATGATGGGTCGGTCAATGCTTAACAGATAGTATTTTAAGGGTGGTCTAAGTGTGGTCCCTGCATCTACATATGACAAAGGCAGTTATACATGCACATTGTGGGTATAGAACACCCACATAAATTTTCTTGTAGTCACCTACACATGTTAACAATTTTTAGACCCCATCAACTACACATTTATCTATTTATCAACTGAACAAGTTTTACACCTGCTTTCCAGCCTTTCAGTAGACTAGTACTTGTGTCAAATTCAAACCACATACATGTACACCTAAATTACTCATGATATGACATTTTCTAGAGACATTTATTTTCCAGTGCTAATACCTGTAAAGTAGATTAAGTATGTGATAACTTCTTTGGTGTCTGTTTGTTAATTGTTGGATTGTCACTTTGTGAGATTTTAGAGGCAGTGTTTGTGTTTAGGTGGTGGCTACCACTCAACGTCCTGAATATTTCAAATATCCAATGGCACTTAAGCTTAGACCTAAACATGTTCTTAAAGTTTCCAGGGAATCCCTTCTGTAGTTCTTCAGATATACACTGATAACATATTTTAAATGAACAAATTCAAGATGGCCACTGGCAACCATCTTGAACATCATATAAAGCTCAAAATGTGGCATACACAACTCTCTGATAGGAGCCAGATTGAACTCATCTTTAATTATTCAAAGTTTTTGTTAATTTACAAATAATGGCAACAACATTTAAAATCTGAAATCTAAAAATGGTTGCTTGTGGTTATCTGTTATCTTGATATCCAATAGCAAGCTTACAAAATTATCAAATGCCAAAAAATTAAGTACATAAATTACCTAGGATACTAATGAAGGGTACAAGGTTAAATAATTATCAAATAAAAGTTATAAAGTAGTTAACGGATAAGGGACATCACCCCCAGTCGAACCGATGACAGGAGTTAAAGGAATTGTACAAAAAACTGAGAATTTTACAGAATTTATAAAGTGTATCGATTGTTTATTCATAAAATTTAAATTTGTTTAAATTCTATTATACAGCAAAAAATTTTTATGATGGTAATAATCTACAAGTATTGCAAGTTTTTATAAAATCTACCAGTATTGCAATATTTATCTAAGTTGTGAGCAACACAGTCTTGTGAAATAACAGAATATCCTCAACACTGTTCAATCTAGACACAACAAAAAAAAAAAAAAATGAAAAAAGGTAATTTACTGAAAATAAGGGAGAGAGGCTAACTGTGGATTATGTTCAAAAATAATGTACTCACTTTTTCTATTTAGGCCTGCCTTTTCTTTCATATTGTCCTTGTATTTAGCAAATTTTCTAGAATGAAAAATAGATATCATTATTTCAGTACCAAAGTGGAGTTTTGTGTGGAAAAAAAATCACTCGAAATAATGAATGGTCAATATTGGTGAAAAATGTTTAGTAAAAACCCTTTCTCTACCCAATACATTATCATAAAAGTAGAAAAAAATAAAATAGATCAATAAATGAATAAAAGGAAAAAATGAAACCCTAAAAAACAAAAACAAAAAAAATCAATGAATAAATACTACAGTGATAAATGAAAAGTGTCTTGAAAATTTCTGTTTTGTAAGACTGGGTAAGAACCATGAAAATGAGGATAAAGATTTGAGTCTGAAAAAATCTATTTGATTTTCAGACATTCAAAAAAAATGGAAATAAACAATACTATATTGTCAATAAAATCTTTCATCACAATCTTATTTAAAAATTTTAATAATAATGTGTCAATATGATATCTCTAGTAGAAGTTAGGTTCTATGATTCAGTGAAAATGTTAGACTATGTCATCAAACAAAGCTGCCTATCACAGACATGTATACACCAGTCGCCAGACACAGCTGTCTATCACAGACATGTATACACCAGTCGCCAGACATAGCTGCCTATCACAGACATGTATACACCAGTCGCCAGACATAGCTGTCTATCACAGACATGTATACACCAGTCGCCAGACACAGCTGTCTATCACAGACATGTATACACCAGTCATCAAACACAGCTGCCTACATGAGACATGTTTACACCAGTCACCAGACAAAGCTGCCTATCACAGACATGTATACACCAGTCGCCAGACACAGCTGCCTATCACAGACATTGTACACCAGTCGCTAGACACAGCTGCCTATCACAGACATGTATACACCAGTCACCAGACACAGCTGTCTATCACAGACATTCATCAGTTGTCAGACACAGCTGCCTATCACAGACATGTATACACCAGTCGCCAGACACAGCTGCCTACAACAGACATGTATACACCAGTTGCCAGATACAGCTGCCTATCACAGACATGAATACACCAGTTGCCAGACATAGTTGCCTATCACAAACATGTATACACCAGTCGCCAGACACAGCTGTCTATCACAGACATGTATACACCAGTCGCCAGACACAGCTGTCTATCACAGACATGTATACACCAGTCGCCAGACACAGCTGTCTATCACAGACATGTATACACCAGTCATCAAACACAGCTGCCTACAACAGACATGTTTACACCAGTCACCAGACACAGCTGCCTATCACAGACATGTATACACCAGTCGCCAGACACAGCTGCCTATCATAGACATTGTACACCAGTCGCTAGACACAGCTGCCTATCACAGACATGTATACACCAGTCACCAGACACAGCTGTCTATCACAGACATGTTTACACCAGTCACCAGACACAGCTGCCTATCACAGACATGTATACACCAGTCGCCAGACATAGCTGCCTATCACAGACATGTATACACCAGTCGCTTGACACAGCTGCCAATCACAGACATGTATACACCAGTCGCCAGACACAGCTGCCTATCACAGACATTCATCAGTTGTCAGACACAGCTGCCTATCACAGACATGTATACACCAGTCGGCAGACACAGCTGCCTATCACAGACATGTTTACACCAGTCGCCAGACACAGCTGTCTATCACAGACATGTATACACCAGTCGCCAGACACAGCTGTCTATCACAGACATGTATACACCAGTCGCCAGACACAGCTGCCTATCACAGACATGTAAACAAATTCACACAGGTGCCTGACTTAGAAAGCATGAAAGGCTTGGCTAATTGGATAATTAACCGTTCTTAACAGGTTACACATTGAGTACGAGGAGATTGATGACACCTGGCTTGGGTTGAACGCGTGCTTTTGGTCAGAAAAGATGTTGTTTTAACTGTCTGATAATTTTCAATCCTTCCCTGTCCCGATATCTGTAACTAACGCGGTGTCCAAAGATACTTAATTATAGATTGTTTACACTGACTTCGACATGGGGAAACAGCGCACATCGTTTACAGCGAAAGAAAAACTGAACGCCATTGACTATGCCGAGAGACTTGGGTTTCATGCCCCCGGTTGCCACTTCGACATTCCAGAGTCAAATATCAGGGCATGGAAGAAAAAAGAACGTCTAAAGTCCCAACCACTGACCAGATGGGCTGACAGAGGTGCGACAGCGAGAAACACTCAAGAGACGGAGAGAGAGCTGCTCAACATTGTATGAGATCACCATGCCGGCATCGCTGTCAATGCAACAGAACTGCTCCTGCAGGCCATGCAGATCAAGAGAGGTCATGGGGTCACCAACTTTAGGCATCAATGGGACACATGCTGAGTATCCCGAGGAGAACGACAATCGCCCAAAGATTGGGAATGCCGACCAAACACCGCTTACTTTCGATCTACCTTCAGATACTACTATAGCCCCAACACATAGTAAGACTGTGACTATTCGAACGACAGGAAAGGAAAAAAAACAGATTAACCGTAATGCTAGCGTTTATGGCCGATGATTAAAACAATCAAAATTAATTTCATTTTTTTGTTGTTTTTATCTCCAAACTATCATATAGGACTGATGACTCTTACATATAACTATGTGAAAGGAGGTAATCCAATATGGCGGACGCAGAACTCAGGAATGATAACCCCAAGAATGGGATGTTCCTGCGCATATTGCACCCCCCCCTTTTTGACACGACAATTTTAGCTTGAAAAAGTGTGCAACATACGCGGAAATTTACTGTAGCTGCCTACAACAGACATGTATACACCAGTCACCAGACACAGCTGCCTATCACAGACATGTATACACCAGTTACTAGACACAGCTGCCTATCACAGACATGTATACACCAGTCGCCAGACATAGCTGCCTATCACAGACATGTATACACCAGTCGCCAGACACAGCTGCCTATCACAGACTTGTATACACCAGTCACCAGACACAGCTGCCTATCACAGACACGTATACACCAGTCACCAGACATAGCTGCCTATCACAGCCATGTATACACCAGTCACTAGACACAGCTGCCTATCACAGACATGTATACACCAGTCGCCAGACACAGCTGTCTATCACAGACATGTATACACCAGTCGCCAGACATAGCTGCCTATCACAGACATGTATACACCAGTCGCCAGACACAGCTGCATACAACAGACATGTATACACCAGTCACTTGACACAGCTGCCTATCAGAGACATGTATACACCAGTCGCCAGACACAGCTGCCTATCACAGACATGTATACACCAGTCGCCAGACACAGCTGCATACAACAGACATGTATACACCAGTCACAAGACACAGCTGCCTATCACAGACATGTATAAACCAGTCGCCAGACACAGCTGCATACAACAGACATGTATACACCAGTCACTTGACACAGCTGCCTATCAGAGACATGTATACACCAGTCGCCAGACACAGCTGCCTATCACAGACATGTATACACCAGTCGCCAGACACCGCTGCCTATCACAGACTTGTATAAACCAGTCGCCAGACACAGCTGCATACAACAGACATGTATATACCAGTCACTTGACACAGCTGCCTATCAGAGACATGTATACACCAGTCACCAGACACAGCTGCATACAACAGACATGTATACACCAGTCACTAGACACAGCTGCCTATCACAAACATGCATACACTAGTCGCCAGACACAGCTGCCTATCACAGACATGTATACACCAGTCGCCAGACACAGCTGTCTATCACAGACATGTATACACCAGTCGCCAGACACAGCTGCCTATCACAGACATGTATACACCAGTCGCCAGACACAGCTGCCTATCACAGACACGTATACACCAGTCGCCAGACAGCTGCCTATCACAGACACGTATACACCAGTCGCCAGACATAGCTGCCTACAACAGACATGTATACATTTGTCATCTGACACCGCTGCCTACAATGGATATGTTTACCTACTTGGCTAACATATCATCTGACATTTCACTGTCTTCCTCGTCAAATGTATCATCTCCTGGGTGGCAAAAATCGGCAAAGTGAACTGGGTTTTTTCTGCAATAAAAGAAAACTTGGTAGCAATTTACCATCATTAAGTCACAAGACCAGCATTAGTACTATAACACAAGAGGCACTTAAGGCCTGTATTGCTCACCTGACAAATTTGATTCCTCTTCACAAAAGATTGCTTCAAACAAAATTTGGTGATTATCCAATCATGGGTCCCACCCTTAGGCTTAGGTTGAGACCCACCATTAGTTCAAAATTTGCTCCCTTTCCCCCAGGAATGCTCCTGACCAAACTTGTTCAAAATCCTGTTGGTCGTTTATGATTAGTAGCAATTTAAAGGCATGAAAGAGCCTTCGGGCCATATGAGCTAATGGTATAAGTCACAAGACCAGCGTTGGTACTATAACATAAGTCACATGAGCAGGGTTGGTACTATAACATAAATCACATGACCTGGGTTGGTACTATAACATAAGTCACAAGACCAGGGTTGGTACTATATGATATGAATCTGTATTGCATACATGTCCTTCTTTACTTATCATTTTTCTTATACCTGTATCATGGTATGTTCATCTTTGTGAAAAATTCCTTATTTCCATGGTTACAGGCAAACCAGAATATAAAATTCAACCTTTAAATAAGACATGAGATGAATGAATTATGGGTAGAATGACCAGATATTCACAGAAGCTTACCTTTGTTGAAACCTAAAGAAAATGAAACTGATGTTTTCTACAGTATTTTTCCTAATGTTTTATACGGTGTATCATAATAACATTTACAGAAGTATAAATGTTCCTTTTATCTTTATAATACGTGATGATCTGGTAATCTCTTGGAATCTTTAAATTTCCTGTTTTTTGCCTTCCCAACTTAATATGATTACAGCTTACATACCTGTAACATTTCTTCCCAAACATGCATTTCTTTCTCTTTTTCACTTTCGGTGTATCATCATCACTCTCTTTTTTCGTTACTGGCTTTGATTGTTGTTTTGTTGCTGCCATTGATGGTTTCTTCTTTTCCTCCTCACTATCAGATTCTTCACTTTCTTCATCTTTTTCTTTTTTCTGGGTTTTTTTAGCTGTAGGCTTTTCATCCTCAGATTCTTCCTCCTCCTCCTCTTCTTCACTTTCACTTTCACTCTTCTTTTTCTTAGGTCGCCCCTTCTTGGCTTTGTATTCCTCCTCAGAATCCTCCTCATCGCTACTTTCTTTCTTTCGTCGTCCTCTTCCTCGTCGTGCTGAAGGTCTAGGTCTGTATTCTTCATCTGAATCATCATCATCAAAGTCTTTGAATTTCCTAGTTGCTGCAGCACTTGCTCTGCGTTTACTGACACGAGGAACATAACTTTCATCAGAGTCACTATCAGAACCTCGCTTTCGACGTCCTCTCTTACGACCTGGTGTCCTCTTTTGTGCCTTTTTTGACTATAATATAACAATGAATATCCAATAAGTTTAAGCTGTGGATTTTAAAGTGTAAATATAATGTGAAATACATGGTTGAGAGAAATATGAGGTTAAATTCTTGAGAAAAATTATATTAACTGAATTGACCTTTTTGCACTTGAATTCTTCTATTTCACATTCCCTCAGTTCAAGGATGGTCCAACCAAAAAAATCAAGTATTAACTGTAACAAGACCTGTTACAACAAAATCTATTTGTTCAGTCTAGAACTACATTAATTAAAGCACTTAAACACAAAGAAGAAAGTTCTTCAGAACAGCTAACATACACCTTAAAACGTTTTAAGCAATAAAGCTGACACAGGCAGGGAACCCTGAGGTACATCTTTAAAAACTTTTGACTAATCCCCTGTTAGTCATTTCGTTCAAACAGAAAGCAGATGTCACTTTCGTGTCTCAGATGTCACACTTCAACTACACATCAATTTTCACAAAAATCAGACGATATCTTAATTTTGACCAATCAGAAGGCTTCATTTGACAGCCATTAGCTGACCATGTATATTTTCACTACACCATCTAAGAAAGTGTTCTATATTAATAATTTCAATCCACTTTGATGTTGATATGCTGAATAGAACAAAATTTATGTGTGAAAAGGTATTATTCAATCAGGAGCCAGAAGATGGAGGCCTTTTTGTCAAATCAGTAAGTGATAATTTTTTGCTCATCTGGAGGCCATCAGTATTAATCTGTCAGACCTTAATGAAGATCCAGCTTATAGTTTTGGAGAAAAGTGTCAGCAACCTTTACGAAGGAAAGTGGAAAAAGCGAGATTTACAATAAGAAGAATCCGGTAAAACCAATCAGGCCCTTCAAACTCAATAAAATCATTCTACCTTTACTTGTATATTTGCCAAATATTTTATTCCATATTTTTAAATATTCACTTCTCCTTCAGTTTAATATTAGGCCATACCTCCAAGATGGAATATACATTCCATTTAGACAGTTTTGAATTTGCTTTGCACAAACGAACCTTTTTCTTCCCTTTAACTTGAATATGAATCCAAAACACTTACTTTCTTATTTGATGCCTCCCAGTCGCTGCCCGAGTCATCATCATCCAGTACAAAGTCACTGTCCTTGCCATCTGACACATCCTCCTCTTCATCAGACAAGTCATCAGGGGCGACAAATTCATCTACTACAATGAATGGATAAAGAAGAGGCCCAATAGACCTGTACTGCACACCTGGCATAAGTTCATAGAATGTTTAATAATCCAGAAAGTGGCCAACAAAAGTTAACCTGAGTTTCTCCTTTTTGGCGATATGGTAAATGTGATAGAAGTAGTGACAATCTCAAAATCCATGATCTACAACTGATTTTTTCAAAAAGATCAATGATGGCAAACATAGTCCATTGCATAAAGTAAACAAATTATTGGGTTGTAGAGATATAATTCTTATTATTTCCCTAACTGTGAAGAATTTAATCTGTTGGTTAATCTGGCCAATGACCACTATATATCTTAAGATCAAAAAGATGTAATGCCACATAAGCTAACGATTGACTTTATATGTCACCATTAGCTTACAAAAGTCTTAATGCCATGCTGACTACCAATTGGTTTTTATGACATCATAATCTCAAAAAGTCTTAATGTCATGCTGACGACCAATTGGTTTTTATGTCATCATAATCTCAAAAAGTCTTAATGTCATGCTGACTACCAAATGGTTTTTATGTCATAATAATCTCAAAAAGTCTTAATGTCATGTAAACTACTAATTGGTTTTTATGTCATAATTATGGTGTAATATATATCTATGTCAATCCTTTTTCTTTTGAGTTCAGATTATTTACATGTTGGTATTTTCTTTGTTGCCATTTTATGACTACTGAGCAAGGTAAAGTTAATATACGCACCATAACTGCCCCTTTTTGTAGCTGCTGACCGAGCTGGTCGACTTGTGGATGGGGTATTCCAATCTCGCACTCGTCTAACTCTTTTAAATGGCTTTTTTTTCACCTCTTCCTCCTCCTCGGACTCATCCTTCCTCTTTTTTGGTGACTCCTCTTCTGACTCCTCAGAAGAGTCACTCTGTTTCTTCGCTCGTTTTAATGGAGATTTGACGACAGGTTTTCTTCCTCGTCCTCTTCCAGCATTTCTAGGTTTGTACTCCTCCTCCTCGTCTTCATCTTCATCCTCCTCATCCTCATCTTTTTTCCTCTTTTTAGGAGTAGCTAATCAGAGAAAATAAAGCATATATTCAAACAAATAAATATGTGATCCATGCTTTCTCCATAAAAAAATTGTATCAATGTTTGGAGTCTTGATTAGATTTGATATCGTGAGTGCTGCTACATTATGTCTAGAGCAAGAGTAAATTAATGTTGTCTATGTTGACATGAAATCAAATTTAGAAACTTACCCTTGCCTCGAGCACGAGGCTTTGGTTTGTACTCCTCTTCTGATTCTTCAGACTCCTCAGATTCACTGGCTGCCTTCTTTTTCTGAGTTGCTGCTGCATTCATAAGACAAGATCATCAGTGAAAAGCTTTGTGCCAATGTTACTGACAAAGATACAGATATAATTACAGTAAAAGTCATTTTCAACTTCCTATTTTGTAATTGAACAAGATTGTGCAGGACATTGTGTGACTTTGTTGTTGTTGGTTTTACGTCCTTTGTCAGGTATTATTATAACTCCATGGTCCATGAATTATAACTACAGTCTAACCTGTCATAACAGCCAACTTAGTTAGACGGCAACCTGCTTATAACGACCGTTTTCAGACCCTCCCAATCGTTTTTGCTCCTTAATGATACCTAATTTAATGGCCATCTGTCTAACGCAGCCAGCCAGTTATGTTTTCTCGCTACGTGAACATTCCTACAAAGAAAACAGCTGATGGCACGTAAACACAATTCACCATGCATTTTATATTGAGTTTGATTTCATTTACGTCACTGGTATACACAATACAGGCATATTATCACTATTGTGGCAAATCACTTCGAAATATGAGCAGCAAATGTAAAACTTTAACTCTTGAAGATAGGGCTCTGTACCGGTACTCAATATAATGGATCGAAAACCGGTATTTTACGTTCGATAGATATATTGGATTGAAAGTTTCTGTATTGAACAAAATATTGATCATTAAGAGAGGATAAATGCACTGTTGAAAAATACCTAATTTAGTTGTGAGTGCTTTCCCTTCGTAAAATCAACATTTCACTAGAATAGAGAGCGGCTATCCGTGACCTGAGGTCATGAATATTAATGAGGAGTAGAGTAAAACCCAGAAACATTCCCGATAACAGGTAACTAGGATGAGAAATTTCATAAAAAAATATTTTAATGGATAGAAAGCAAAAACAACGCAGTGGTTCGTTTTCGAAGGTTGTAAGAACAATAAATACAATACTGGAGCGCTTCCGCTCCACTGCCATTTTTCATGCAACGTCATTATAAAGTTCCCGCCCACTCTAGATACTAGTCTTTACGTGATGCCGTTTAGACATGGCATCGAGTGTTTGATTAAAAACACAGGCGGATTAAGAATGAATAATTCATGTTTACGTTTTCTTGGTCGTAAATGTAATATATTCAAACAAATATTAACAATTATTGGGAATAATTTTGCATTAACAAACCAAACCATGAAGAAAATGTTTTGTACATTAAGGTTGTTCGATTAAGAATTTTTCAATAGCTTCATTAAAACTTGTACATGCCTTTCTTTCAATTTTGTTCTTTTGTATTTATAGTTGTCATAAAATAAAGATTGGTCTGTCTTCAAATTACTTTTTAAGAAGATACTAAATAATAACAGATGATGTTTTATAGCTTATTATTAAACTGTATTCAAATGTCAATGTGCAAATTACCGCAACTTGGGTTCGAAAATAAGGAACCTCAATTAAGAGGCCACCTCTCTATAAAGGCCACTTTCATAATTTCCCAACAGTGACTGAATAATACAGGTTAGACTGTATATGGTTTAACTTAGAAGAACAAAATCTTTGTGACTAACTTCTACACCATATCAGATTCAGATTTGTAGGAGAATCACATCAAATTGACAGAGGGCCATTGGATTGACATGACCTACTTTCCAACATAGAGCATTTCGAATTTGCCAGAAAATCAAACATCTTTTAACTGGTATAAATTTTCAGTGTAAACTTTTCAGACAAGACCATTCACCATCAGTCAGAAGCATTTTATTGGAAGGGCAGTGTATTTACAGAAACTGAATAAGTCAAGCATGGCATATATTGATAGTACTTTGATCTTACCTCTGCATCATCTAGTTGTTAAATTAGGTATATATCATTGAATTTTACAACGGCCTGGTCTAGTTGTTAACTTAGTTATAAATCATTAAATTTTACCTTGACCTTGTCTAGTTGTTAACTTAGTTATAAATCATTAAATTTTACCTTGACTTTGTCTAGTTGTTAACTTAGGTGTATATAATTAAATTTTACCTCGGCCTTGTCTAATTGTTAACTTAGGTGTATATAATTAAATTTTACCTCGGCCTGGTCTAGTTGATAATTTAGGTACATATCATTGAATTTTACCTCGGCCTTGACATTTGTTAGCTAGTGTTTAATCATTGGCCCATAACTAATTTCAGGTTAGCCTTAATTGATCTAATTTCAACCCTGATTACCCGACAAAGGATTTGTTATTATTTTACTAAGGCCTCAACTAGTTGGAATGGGTTTATCAATGGACCTGACTTCTGCCTTGACTAACTGGCTTGTGTTTATCACTGGACCTGACCTCAGTCTCGACTAGTAAGCTTGTCTTTATCTTTTGAGCCTACATCTGCCTCAACTAGATAAATTATGTTTATCACTGAACCTTACCACGGCCTCGACTGGTTGGCTTGGGTTTATATTCTTCTTCTGACTCTTCCTCTTCTGATTCGCTGAAATCTTTCTTCTTTGGAGCTGCTCCTGTAAGAAATATATCAGAAGTACTATTATAAAACAGCTGCAGGGAATAAAAATCTAAGTCAGTTAGACTTTCTATTTGTCCATACATTAACCTATATACTATAAAATTATATTGCATACCTGACAAAGATCTCATTTCTGGAACATTGCTACAAGGTCGTTTGTTCTGGGGTTTTAGATATCTTATGGTTTTCTTAAACCTTTCATCACATTATCATCAACAATCCAAGACTTAATACATAAGCTGGATAATCGGAAAGAAATATCACACATCTTTAAGTGATTAACAGTTTTGCCTTCCTCTGAACATTCTTGAGCTAATGTAGAGTCTACTCATGTTGAGAAGCAAACAATGTAGGTCACAGCAAATTCTTTAGAGCAAACTTAATCATCTTATTTAGAGCAGGACTTCTATGTATATCAATATATACTGGTCATTGAATTTGGGATAATGTGTATAGCTCCAATATATGGATAAATCCAAGTCAAATCAAAGTCTGAAAGTCCATAAAACAGTAGACATGTAAAAATATTATCTACAACATATGTTTTTCACTTCATTATATACAGACTTTTGGGCCTGAAATGACCTTTGTGAGCTATACACATGCTGTGCTTTATGATTTTATCATACATTATATTGTATATTATTTTGCAATAAAACTAAACTTGGAGCCACACAGAGAGTAGAAAGATAATCCAACCATATGATAAATATGTAACTCATACCTCTGCCTCTTTTCTTGGGTGATTTTTGTTCCTCATCAGACTCTCCCTTTTTTGGTGTTGCTGTAAACCAATATGATGAATGTTGATTAATTAAAACAACATGATAATTTACTTCTGATTTACCACATTGCAAGTTATTTCCACATGGATGGTATCTTCTCAATGTCATGGTACATTACAGTAAAAGCAAATATATAATCTGTGAAAAAATGAGACACATATGTACTATTTGTCCTTTCACATCCAGACCGCGAAATCCTCATTTGTTCCAATATAATTTGATTGCTTTAAACGAAAATCACAAAACTTTCAACATTCAATACAGATATTACAATAATAACAATAGGCCCAGTGGGTCTGCATCGTTCACCTGGTATATATATACTAGCAAATTTGACTCCTTTGACTTTGAATATGAGTCAAGATCCTTTCTTTTTGCAAACTTTGTCAGATTGCATCCAAGGAACATACTAGCCATATATCTTGCCTCTAGGCCGTAAAGTTCATGAGATGAAGTTGTTTAAATGTTTTAACAAGTTTGACCCCATGACCTTGAATATATGTCAAGGTCATTTCTTTTCGCAAACTTTTTCAGGCTTCATCCCTGGAACATCCCGGTCTAATATCAAAACATTTTGTGCACTGGTTATTGAAAATAAGTTGTTTTAGGGAAAAATTTGATGCTGGACAATGGACGGACGATGCACAACGGCTTAAGCTCACTTGGCCCTTCAGGCCAGGTAAGTTAATAAAAGAAGTGATCTATGGTAGCTCAGATCAGGGAACAAGTTTTAGCACTTGGAATTGACATTACTCAAATTAGTGAAATAAGGATAGAAAAAATATCTTAATGCTACCACATCCACCATTCATAAAGCAATGACACACTGTAAAATTTCTGTTGTTGTCTTTCCATTTTAACAGAACTGTCTCATCCATCAACTGTGGCCATCAGAGGAATCCAGATTCCCTCTGAATAAGTTTCTCAGAAGATATTTAGTCCTACCTGTTTTTTTCTGATCAGGTTTAGCAGTTGCCTTCTTGGTCGGACTAGCTGGACCCCCAGATACTTTGGCTATCTGTACCATCCAGTTTGGCAGAACTCGCTTCTTGTCAGTTGGCATACTCATATCACCTTTTCCTGGAGGTCGCACTGTCTTCTAAAACCACAGAATTACAAACATAATCAATTTTCACAAATAGGATATTCCAAAAACTTAAATCCTAATCTGTTACACAACTCTATGTCATGACCAAAGCTTCTAAATAAGATTTCTATAAACCTGACTGAACAACTTTACATGAATTAAAATCACGTTAAGCAACTTTAATTACCCAAAACTTTATGAAACACAATGCACAAAGCTGATAAGGAAATACATGTTGCATTTACCTTTCCTTTTTTACCAACATCTTCTTCATCATCTTCCTCTTCCATCTCCTCTTCATCTTTTTCCTCATTTTCTGAATCTGAAAAGATGAAAATTGTACGTCTGTTCACATGGTTTAAATTGACAAGTATGAATACAGAATACCAGCCAGTTGCAAGGATGTTTTAGAATACACTCTTTCCTAGCTAAAACCAAAATTGTCCTTATTTTGTATATTTTTCAAAAATCATTTGATCAAAATATGAATATCAAAGAGAAAAAAAAAACATAAATGGTGCATGCAATTTAAATTTTGGGCCAGCAAGATATTCATAACGCAAAAGATTTCATGTGACCAAGTCACAGAGGTTTTCTTGTTCTTGTCAGTGACGTTTCTTGTCAGAAATCTCGTGATCTTTAGAAGTGAAAAACAACTGAGAAGTGATGTAACATACCTGCTGACTTCGGGGCTGCAGTATCGTTTTGAACGCCACTGGAAATAAACATGACATACCATTAATAACAATAACTAAATATTTTCCATCCAATCAGTTTCTGTTTTGACAACAAGTGTGCTCATAAAAATATTCACTTCTTATTACTTTTTGAATAAACAATACTGAGAATATTTCTTAAAATATCTGGCCAAGGAGACACAAATAAATCAACAAATTTTCTATGAAACAACATTTACCCTTTGTTGGCTCCATTTGTGATTTTGTTTGATTTTACTTTAAAGAAGAGTTTATCTGGTAGTAAGCCAAATACATCCCCTGCCCGGAGGCATCGCTTTTCATCCTTAGGCAGAGCCACTGCTGAGCCTCCTCCATTTTTCTTGAAAAAGCATGGATTACTGTGAGTCTGAAAGAGAAACAAACAGTATAGTTTACAGCTATACTGCAGTATTACTGTTGAAGATTTTCTTTTTCAGAACAAATACACATTTTGAGAATTGATAAGACTTTCTGCTGTTTTTGGTAGTATTTCCCATTCAAATGTCTGAATACAACAAATGTTAACTGGGCAATAAACACACTCATGAAAAATATCACAATATAGTTTAAGACCCCCCTAATTTTAGTGTCAAAATCTATACACCTCAAGGATAAAAGCTGCAAGGAAGGAAGGAAACACTAGACAATATCTTAAATTTACTAATAAGCATACACATGAAAAATATACTCACAGGTGTCAGGTATAAATCTCCATTCTCTACTTCCAGTATGCCATGGTTCCTTGAAACCTTCTTATCAGTGACCTGAAAGAAAGAGTAGGTTTAGAATTGAATAATAATAATTAATTTTCCATTTTGTGTACTTAAATGCAGCTTTCTGATTCATCATTTTTTTCTTTTCATTTCCCAGTGAAAAAAACCCATCAAACTCTGCACGTTTGATAATAATTGAAGGAGTCAATGGCAACATGTCACCTTGTGGCGGATGTGTCCAGGATTTGTTTTTAATGTATGAATGCGTATACATACACCTGATGTGTGTGGATTGCTGTCATTCAATGTTGCAAGCAAATGAAATTCAGGCATCATAAAATAATCAAATATCTTACAACAATAATAAACAATGAATAAATAACATTAACATCAGGGGAAAAATTCTATATTCTATATTTTTTTTTACACATTTTGAACTTCAGACTGAAAACATGGTTTCACTACCTGATCAAAATGTTGTTTGCATGCAAATTTTGTATCCAACTTATGATCACAGGATGGGTTTCAATCTTAATGATAAGTCTTGATAGGAATATTTTTCAGTTTCATGGAATGCTGGAATGAAACTAAATAATGTTCCTTTCAAAGCTGAAATAACATTTAAATTGAATAATTCCCACATCAGTGTAATAATACAAATCATTTCAATAGTTCTTGCAGAGAACATAAAGTACTACATGGAGTTGGCTTAAAAACAGTGACACAGGTTGCATTCATGCTGCTATGAACGCCTACTGAAAATCAGGATAGCAGACAACTTCACCTGCAGGAAAGGTCCCCTTCCTATCACGGTCTTTGTAAGTGGTACATCTATCACGTCACTGCCCTCCAATGATATAAGTGATATACCGGACATTTTTTTCTGAAAAAAAAATACTGTAAATTACTTTCTATATTTACTAGAAATTCTACTGGAAAGTATAGCTGTGTCATAATTTGGGAAATGTTATATCCTTTTTCATCTGGACAGCATTTAGCATGACTCAGAAGATGTCTATGATGATTTACTAATTTCTCACTTGTGTTCTAATCCCTTTTTGGATTCCTCCTTGGAACTCATTTATATCGGATGTTTGACAATGAAGAATATAGTTTATAGGGCCTTACAAGGGATTCCGACAAGAAACACAGGCAAACGTCCGAACTATAAACAAGTCCCAAAAGGATTACTTGTGGACATGAGCGTGACCTTAAATGATACAAGAATTGTAAATGTCTTTATAAAGATTACTTCTACCAGAGCTATTATAATTCTGCCCTTTTGGGATAAACAGTCTAGTTGTTATCATATTATTAATTGTTAAGTCATTTTCCATGTTTTAATGAAAAAAAAGCACTCGTGTCCACAGATGGCAATGAGCAGTTTGTGAAACTGAATGTTGCAACTCTGCTTTTAATTGTCACATATGTGTTAATGCAGTGATATGATATCCACAATTTACGTTTCTGTGTGCAACAAATTTAAAATGTATTCGAATACCGAGAATGTTTCTGCCACAGTTCATTTTTTTTTTTTTTTTTTTGCGGGTATTTTTCATTTTTTTACGGAGTTATATACACGTATGGTGTAACTTGGTATAATATCCAGTTACACTGCTATCAACACTAGAGAGAATGATCCGTTATAAACTAATGATGAGCATGCATATATGAGAAACTGTACACACAGTACAGAAAGGACAATGCCGCCGGGGCCGAAAGTGATGATGGACGGGTAAACAAAAAGATGCTTTGCAAACACGCGGGAGATATTTTGGACAGTAGAAACAGAACAAGTGCTAAATAACAATCATGCATACGTTGCAATGTATACGCAATTACATTTTGTTTGTGACACCATGGAAAAGATGATCAAAGACAAGCTTCTTCTCTTCACTAACGCATGTTTCTTGTTTTCCCTTGCATTTTTCTTGCCTCCAAGCCATAAGAGCTCTCTAAAAGAACGATAACACGATTATTTTTCGCCGCGAGTTGCGCAAGTTTGGAACACGGAAATTAGATCATTTTTTATTGTCTTAGTTTTTGTGACTTATGTTGAGTAAATATAGCTTCTTCGTGTGATGAAAGTTTTTAAAATTGCACACAAAATAACAGACACAAGGAATTTTATTGAAGGCTAATCATAGAATATGTAACGCCACAACACGTGTTTTATATGAATGGTAACAATATTTGTCCAGTACATCAGATAATATAAACATGTGTAGGATTTAATAAATTCTTTAAAATCTGCTTACAAGGAGAGACAACACATTCCATGTGTAAAAAATCTTCAATGTATGGATAGAAATCTTTCCAGTGTCATGTGGCTGTCCGGGTGTGGAACAGCCTCCCAAATGAATTGCGGAGATGTGAACACTTTTGAGAATTCCGGAGGCTGTTCCACACCATGAATGGCCACATTTGTACTTGACCTATCTGTGCAAAGATGATTTGTTTTCTTACTCAACATTATTTTTACTACTAAAAAATAAATCCTTGATTATTTTCTGATTTTTACCCAGAAATCAGTCTCTAAATGAATTAGTGTTGTGATTATATTTTGATTTTGAAATAACATGAAGCTATAGTATTTTTAGTTGTGCTATGTACCATTAACTCAATGTGGTATTTTTGTTATGTTTAAATTATGCCTATTACGTTATGCATGTAGTGTTGACTTTTATTTCACTATTCATTCTGTGATTTTGTTCCGTTTGCGTTATATTTTTATAAGTTTGTCGTAATAATAACTCTTCTGCGCTAACATTATATGTTTTTACTGTATACGACAGAAAATAAAATTTCTTGTATCTTGTAAAAGCTTACAAATGATAGTGATATGTAGTAAGATAGGTACAGTATAATGAAAATCAATGAGTTAGATATAGACGCAAGTCCGTCCATGCCAAAACGTAATAGAATCATGCTGCAAATATCTAAGACTTAATTTGTTATTAAAGTTTAAATACGTAGCAGCAAAATAAGAGCAAAGCTAAAATAAATAGGTGCTACAACAACATCCAGTAAAACTTGACCACATAGGCGCTAACAATGAAATGTACTGTCATATAGTTTCCTATAGTCCTGTGAAGCGGAAGTTTGAAAAGTAAACTTAAACCTAACCTTAACCTAACTAAACTAGACTATCAACTGATTTGAACTGAACTAACTTAGACTTTTTTTTTAAAAATGACCTTAACATGTGTTTCAAGTTGGTTTCTGATCTGATAGACAAACATGGAGTCGTAAAGCGTGGCATTATCTCCCCTACCCCAGCTGTTGATGTAAAACCCAAATATGATATGAATATATATACATATACCGGTTTAACAATTTGTGACGTCACTCAATTATGTACCGCTACTATCATCTAAAGATCTTAACAGTGGAAGCGCTAGTGCAAAATGTAACGTCTTCTTTTGTCATTTTCAACTATCAATTAAATTTCCCTGCATATCCTGAACTTCAACATTATTTTACACACACACACACACACACACACACACACATATATATCAAGAGTTTATATCTTGATGTAGATCCTGTGTGTTTGACTGTTAATACTTTAATAGAGCTTGGTATTGTCCATGAACAAATCTATGCAACACGCTAAAAGCTCTGGAGTAATACAAGAAGTCACAAGAAATCGAAATTTGATGGTAACAGAAAAAAAGATAAAATAATAAAATGTTTTCAGTAAGAAAAGGCGCGACTAGGGCACTAACCTGATATATACAGACAGTTTTGTGGAGTTCAGTGCAATGGCTTTGAAGTGGAAGCCTGAAAAGGAAAGAAAACACTAATTTTGTTTTTTTGGGATATGTTTTCATGGTAACACACAAATATAGAAATTGAAATGTCGTCAATAGCAACAGGCACAACTAAGGCACTAATCTGATATGTACTGCAAGTTTTATGAAGTTGAGTTGAACGGTTTTGAAGTTATAGACCGGAAAACCCTCTGATGGAAGGACACACGCACAAACCCACGCACGCACTTTCAGTCAAGCACGCACGAAACCCAAATTTATATTCCCCGCAAACACGTTTCGCGGGGGATAATAAGTTAATTCCGAATTTTGTTCGCTTTGCGAGTTGTTTCCCTTTGTACGCTAACCGTCTTGTCTTGCGACGTGCTATATTCATGTTTCTCTTTGGTATAGAATGTTTCTCAAGGGAGACGGTGTCCTGTCTTTGTAGAGAGTGTTCCCTCTTGGAAGACGGTGTCCTGTCTTTGTAGAAAGTGTTCCTCAAGGGAGATGGTGTCCTGTCTTTGTAGAGAGTGTTCCTCAAGGGAGACGGTGTCCTGTTTTTGTAGAGAGTGTTCCTCAAGGGAGACGGTGTCCTGTCTGTAGAGAGTGTTCCCTCTTGGAAGACGGTGTCCTGTCTTTGTAGAGAGTGTTCCTCAAGGGAGACGGTGTCCTGTCTTTGTAGAGAGTGTTTCTCAAGGGAGACGGTGTCCTGTCTTTGTAGAAAGTGTTCCTCAAGGGAGACGGTGTCCTGTCTTTGTAGAGAGTGTTCCTCAAGGGAGACGGTGTCCTGTCTTTGTAGAGAGTGTTCCCTCTTGGAAGACGGTGTTCTGTCTTTGTAGAGAGTGTTCCTCAAGGGAGACGGTGTCCTGTCTTTGTAGAGAGTGTTCCTCAAGGGAGACGGTGTCCTGTCTTTGTAGAGAGTTTTCCCTCTTGGAAGACGGTGTCTTGTCTTTGTAGAGAGTGTTCCTCAAAGGAGACGGTGTCCTGTCTTTGTAGAGAGTGTTCCTCAAGGGAGACGGTGTCCTGTCTTTGTAGAAAGTGTTCCTCAAGGGAGACGGTGTCCTGTCTTTGTAGAGAGTGTTCCTCAAGGGAGACGGTGTCCTGTCTGTAGAGAGTGTTCCCTCTTGGAAGACGGTGTCCTGTCTTTGTAGAGAGTGTTCCTCAAGGGAGACGGTGTCCTGTCTTTGTAGAGAGTGTTTCTCAAGGGAGACGGTGTCCTGTCTTTGTAGAAAGTGTTCCTCAAGGGAGACGGTGTCCTGTCTTTGTAGAGAGTGTTCCTCAAGGGAGACGGTGTCCTGTCTTTGTAGAGAGTGTTCCCTCTTGGAAGACGGTGTTCTGTCTTTGTAGAGAGTGTTCCTCAAGGGAGACGGTGTCCTGTCTTTGTAGAGAGTGTTCCTCAAGGGAGACGGTGTCCTGTCTTTGTAGAGAGTTTTCCCTCTTGGAAGACGGTGTCTTGTCTTTGTAGAGAGTGTTCCTCAAAGGAGACGGTGTCCTGTCTTTGTAGAGAGTGTTCCTCAAGGGAGACGGTGTCCTGTCTTTGTAGAAAGTGTTCCTCAAGGGAGACGGTGTCCTGTCTTTGTAGAGAGTGTTCCTCAAGGGAGACGGTGTCCTGTCTTTGTAGAGAGTTTGCCCTCTTGGAAGACGGTGTCTTGTCTTTGTAGAGAGTGTTCCTCAAGGGAGACGGTGTCCTGTCTTTGTAGAGAGTGTTCCTCAAGGGAGACGGTGTCCTGTCTTTGTAGAGAGTGTTCCTCAAGGGAGACGGTGTCCTGTCTTTGTAGAGAGTGTTCCTCAAGGGAGATGGTGTCCTGTCTTTGTAGAGAGTGTTCCTGTTCCTCAAGGGAGACGGTGTCCTGTGTTTGTCGAGAGTGTTCCCTCTTGGAAGACGGTGTACTCTCTTTGTAGAGAGCATGCCCTCTTCAGAGATAATGTATTCTCAATGTAGAGAGTGTTCCATATAGGGAGAGGGTGTTCCCTCACTGTAGCGAGTGCTCCCACGAGGAAGAGGGATGTCTCTTCATTCTAAAGTATTCGCTCGACGGAGATGTTGTATCCTCTTTTTAATGAGTGTTCTCTTTAGGGAGATGGTGTCTCCTCTTTGTAATGAGTGTTCTCTTTAGGGGAATGGTGTCTACTCGTTGTAATGAGTGTTCTCTTTTGGGAGAGTGTCTCCTCTTTGTAATGAGTGTTCTCTTAAGGGAGATGTCTCCTCTTTGTAATGAGTGTTCTCTTTAGGGAGATGGTGTTTCCTCTTTGTAATGAGTGTTCTCTTTAGGGGAATGGTGTCTACTCGTTGTAATGAGTGTTCTCTTTTGGGAGAGTGTCCCCTCTTTATAATGAGTGTTCTCTTTAGGGAGATGGTGTCTCCTCTTTGTAATGAGTGTTTCTTTAAGGAGATGGTGTTTCCTCTTTGTAATTTGTGTTTCTTTAGGGAGATGGTGTCTCCTATTTGTAATGAGTGTTATTTTTAGGGAGATGGTGTCTCCTCTTTGTAATGAGTGTTTCTTTAGGGAGATGGTGTCTCCTCTTTGTAATTTGTGTTTCTTTAGGGAGATGGTGTCTCCTCTTTGTAATGAGTGTTTCTTTAGGGAGATGGTGCCACCTCTTTGTAATGAGTGGTGTCTTTAGGGAGATGGTGCCACCTCTTTGTAATGAGTGTTCTCTTTAGGGAGATGGTGTCTCCTCTTTGTAATGAGTGTTTCTTTAGGGAGATGGTGTCTCCTCTTTGTAATGAGTGGTCTGTCTACAGAGATGGTGCCACCTCTTTGTAATGAGTGTTCTCTTTAAGGAGATGGTGTCTCCTCTTTGTAATGAGTGTTTCTTTAGGGAGATGGTGTCTCCTCTTTGTAATGAGTGTTTCTTTAGGGAGATGGTGCCACCTCTTTGTAATGAGTGTTCTCTTTAGGGGAATGGCGTCTCCTCTTTGTTATACGTGTTTTCTTTAGGGGGAGTGTGTCTCCTCTTTGTAATAAGTGTTCTCTTTAGGGGGATGGTGTCTCCTCTTTGTAATAAGTGTTCTCTGTAGGGGGAGTGTGTCTCCTCTTTGTAATGAGTGTTCCTTCTATGGAGACGGTACTGCCTCTTTGTTGAGAGTGTTCCCTTATGGGAGAGGGTGTATCCTCTTTGTAGGGAGTGCTCCCTCAATTGAGAGGATATCCCTTCTTTGTAGTGAGTGTTC